TCAAATAAAAGCCCTGGGTCAAAATTGGCCCCACCCCAGGGGGTCATTGATTTTCCCTATATGCATATAGTTTAAAACTTAAAAAAATCTTCTTTTAAAGAACTCAAAGAGCTAGAGCTAAGATATTTAGCATGAAACATGTTCTAATGGGTGTCTACCAAGTATGTTCAAATAAAAGCCCTGGGGTCAAAACTGGCCGGCCCCGGGGGTCATTGATTTTCCTTATATGTGTATAGCAAAAACTTAAAAATCTTCATTGAAAAAACCCAAATAGCTTGAGTTAAGATATTATACATGAAACATTTTTAAGTAAATATCTACAAAGTTTGTTCAAATAAAAGCCCTGGGGTCAAAACTGGCCCTGCCCCAGAGGTGTCATTGTTTTTAACTATATGTGTATAGTAAAAACTTAAAAAATCTTCTTTTTAAAAAAACCAATGAGCTAGAACTTAGATGTTTAGCATGAAACATCTTCTTATGGGTGTCTACCAAGTCTGTTCAAATAAAAGCCCTTGGGTAAAAATTGGCTCGGGGGGGAGGGGGGCTATATACAGGTGAGCGACCTCAGGGCCATCATGGCCCTCTTGTTTTTAAAAAGTTTTTGTTGTTTTTGTACATAATTTACTGTCAATATGAAACTTCAGCTGTATCTTAATTTCTATGCTTTTTTTATTATGTAAATCTTAGAAGATAATTATTTTAAGATAAAACAAATCACTAAGTTGATTAATTATATATAATTTGAGATTGACCAAGTCAACTAGTAACTTCTTATTTTATTTGCAGAAGCAGTAGAAGTATTCAAACACCATCATGAAACACTTAAGACATACCCAGAGAGCTCTAGAAGAAGTACTAGTGGTAGATTGGAACAGATTGTAGCTTAATTGTTAAACTAAAAGGACTTCTTAAATCGTTTGAATTTAAGCTACACTTGAACTGTAGTTTTGAAATAAAATTGCTGAAGTATTTAATAGTGTCTTGAATTTTTTTGTTAAACCATGTTACAGTACTTTGCTTAATATTAGAATTAAAGTATGTTGAAATGACATTGAAACTTCAACGTTGTGCCAACGTTGAACTTCAACGTTTTATAAACTTTCAAATTCGAACATAAATCTAACGTTATTTCAAAGTTGAAATCTGACCATACTTCAACGTTGTTCACCGTTGATGTGCCTGCTACTTCTATCAAGGACCTATTTGCGGTATTTTTAATATTATTCAATATTCTATGAAAGTTTGATGCTAAATGCATCAATCATGATTTTTTTCAATCAATATCTAGGCTATAACCTGCATAGATATTGCCTGCACATAAAATATTGCGTGGGAGTTATCAACAATAAAAGTATGCGTGGGAGTTACCCAAATCATTTTTCTCTCGTGTAATGGAATAGAAAATGACCTGTCAACATTTAACATGCCTAATATTTACATTTTCAAATAAAGAAATTCTATGAACATTTTCTCTTTGCTAACTCGACGTAGTTTAATCAAATTCATAAAAAATACAAATTTTGCGTGAATGTTACCCGAAATATAATTGTTCACATTCAAAATTTCTGTTGAATTTTTGAGTGTTTGTAAAAACTATGAGCACAGAGGTGGAAAATAAGGTATAGGCGGCAACAATTCTTTATTCCGCGTAGGCTGCAACAGGTCTCGTATGTAAGTAAAAGGGATATAATAAAGAATTACCTGAAAAACACATGTGAATCGAGGTTTTTAGGCCGCCATATTGTCTGTACGCGTAACCGTAAAAGTCACGTGATTCCCTACCGTGGAAATGTTGATAAAAAAGTGAGCACTTTTTCGGCGCCGCCCCCATCCAAAATGTACATCAGGGTGTTGCCAGAAGGGGGACGTGCCCCTTCTGTTTGGGGGTTTGAAGGAGGGCGGCAGTCCCCTTCATCGTCAAGAAAATTTTGGACTTTTGAGAGGCTAAAAATGACCCTAGGTCGATCATAAGGTAACGTGTAACCAACGCTGAAAAGCCTTTGACTCTATCTGAATCCATTAAGAAGTTGCAGCACTTTGAAATCAATTTTGATGGAAAAAAATCAATGCAAAATAGTGATTTTTGGCAATTTTGAGTTGTCTCCTTGTTGCCATGGTAACAGGAAATTGAAGACTGAGCATGTCGTTACAAAGGCAATGGTCCAGTCAACATTTGTGCCAAGTTTGATTAGTATTGAAGAAGTTTTTATAGTTTTATAGCAATTTGAACTTGTAACGGGAGACTTTTCAATGAAAACAGCCATTTTTCACAAAATGCTCATGCAGTAATGGGATTGCATGTTAAAGATTTAAATTGATAAGTAAAATTGAACAGATTCTTATGCCTGTCATTTGGCAAAACCAAAGTGCATAAAAATACCCACAAAATTGTAAAACAAGTTTTAACAGCGTTGGTATAATGAACTTCTAGCGTCAAAGGAAGGTTACGTAGAATGTACAGTTCATTTAAAACACTTAGAATACAAGAAATATTTCTACATAATTCCAAAAGATAGCTGCATTACTATATTTAGATTTCGTAATGTAACAATCGTTTACCAAGTCAAACATAACGTTGGGGACGGGGAACCGCTTTTCTTTACAGATGTAGCACATGTAGGCTCTGTTACCTTTTATACAGAAAGAAATTCCCTCCTACAGTAAATTAATATTTCAGATAAACCGTCCATTGTTTTGCGAGAACATTATCAAGAAGAACTGAAATTACTCTTTGTATTTTAAGTACATTTACTAGCATTATTATATGTCTTAGTTTAACTAGCATAAGTTTTGCCATAGAGGAAAATAGCAATGCTTTACCACAAGATTCTTTTTCTTTTCTTTCTGAATAAACGTGTTATCATATGACAATACTTAATTATCATGCAAATACAGGATTTATTTTCATCGATAGGTATGAACATAAATATTTCAAGAGTGGCGGTAGCCACGAGTGAAATATGATTATTTTCATACCACAAGATGAAAATAAATCCTGTATTTATAGAAAAAATCTTGAATTTTCTGTTTAAGATATACATTTTTTCTTTTTGATATTACAATTTGAAAGATTTCCCCTTAAATTTTATGCATTGACTGAATTTAGAAGAAATTATTCCGACAAGACACCTATGAAAATACGGAAAATATGTTTCACTGCAGTGATAAATATTGTTTTACTGTGAAAATACGGAAAATGAAAATACACATTTTATTTCATCAATATTTCTCAATATTTCATTTATAAATATATAATAAATCCATGTAAATGTCTCGTGACGATCGCCGGCAGGTCGTAGTCTTTCTTTAACTGTCTTTCTGTTGACAATGTATGACTATTATGCTATAAATCATTTGCCTATCATTATTGTAAATTTTGAAAATACAAGAATTAAATAAAATAGAAGTAAATGGATATTAGATAAATTTTCGCACTCTGTCATTTCAAATTTAGAATAAATACCTGCCATTGTACAGTGTTTACATGGTGTGCTAAAATAAAACACAAAAATAAACTAAAATGAAAAACCTTTGTTTTGTAGAGTTTTTTCATGAACCTCGTACAATGCCCACCTGTGTGTATAAGGAGACAAGATAGTATGCTGATTTTCCCAAGCAATAAATAAAACACCAAATTAAATTTGGTAACGTGATAAAAGGCGCAACCCTTAATTAATACGTTAGAGCCTTTAGATTTCCTAAATACCCTGCAATCATTGTTTTTATCTTCGCATGTTTTTTTTTTTGGAGCTGCAAGACAGTAGGTACACTGAAAATATAAAGTTTTCGAACTTTAATTCATCAGAGTCTAAATTATAATACTGTACAGATAATTTAAATATAGCACTGTGGAATTATGTAGGACTCAAAGTGTGTACTGTCGTAAATAAAACTATGGAAAGCCACAACTGACATTAATACTTAATTTCACCTTGTTATAATATAACTTTCTTTATTTCGTCCTTGATAAAAGAAATTTTGATCAGTTGTGTAACTTTTACAAACAAAGGACATTAGCTTAAACGTATTTTAACGTATCTTAATGTCGACCAACATTTGAAACAGCCATAACAAACTCAGACCGAGCATCTTTAAAATGAAAATAATCATGTTGATCAAATGTGATCACTTTAAAGGTATGCAGTTCTGTAGTGTTTTTTAAAACACATTTTAAACATTGCAGACATGATATGTCTGGATCTGGATGGTACGTTGCAGTGCCTTTTAGCATAAAGGCAACGGAAGAAATGAGTTAGTCCAAATGGAATACGGCTGATTTGAAGCAGTTATACTGTCTTTGCTTGCGCAACACTATACCACTCAATTTATTCCAATCGAAAATTGTTCGTGGGAAAATGATTGGTTATAACTTAAAGTTTTACACTGCACAGTTTTAAAGCATTTACAGTTACTTATAATCTGGTTTTATGGCACAATTCTCAAAAGTCTAAGCTTTCACTTAGTTCTGGCTTCCAAAACTTTATAAGCCGCTTTTTCACATTTTTGTTTATCATTTGATCACGTCATGTCATAGTATATAAACAGGTACGCTGAAGACCTTAAGCTAAGCTTTCACACTGCGTTTATTTTCTCGGACAGGCATCGAGAAGTCTTGGCAAGGTAAGGCTTGCACCAGCACCCCCGCCCCCACACACCAACCCGACAGTGATGACGACAGTGCGATGACGAAAATGCGATCTAGTGCGATGGCGACAGTGGGATAACGCGATGACGACAGTACGATAATGCGACAATGCGAAAGTGCGATGGCGACAATACGATAGTACTATCGCGTTGTCGCCATCGCGGTTTCGTACAGTGGCCATCGCGTTTTCGCATTGTAGTCATCGCGTTATCGCAAAGTCGCATTGTCGTCCTAGCACTGTTGTATTGTCGTCATCGCAATATCGCACTGTCGCATTGTCGCCTTCTGGATTATTAAGTATAACCACGATAGAACTAACGGTATTCCCTACGATGGCCCTAAAGATTTTCCGTATTTTTCGGACTGTACTGTATGTTCCGTCAAGGACAGACTTTATTGATGTCAAACGTCTCGTCGATCCTGATGAAAAGAAAATGGCGGCTGCTTTAAATAGTGCAAAATCAAAGAAATTTAAGAAAAAACTCGACGTGAGTAACTAAAATCCAATGCATGACATGCAGTCTCAGTGAAATTAAAGCATTTTACTCTTGTAAATTTGGACAGTGTTAAAAATTATACATATTTTATAGACAGTCTTCATACAAATTTCTAGCAAGTTTCAACTTGCAAAAAAAAAAGATTTTAAGAATCTGTCATATTTTAAAATCCTTACCATAAAGGGTATCCCATAAACCTCTTATCCTTATCCAAAAGAAACCTCTTATCCTTATCCAAAAGTATTTAACATATACATGTAGTGTGGTATTATGTATAGAGGGGATAAATGCAGGTATTTTGTTCCTCAAACAGAAAAGAATAAATTGGTGGTGTTCAACCTATCACAGGAGTGCTTCGACTATTTCAGAAAATCTCGTCCACCATTTTTGTGTCCCCTTGAAAAAGGCGACATATAGGGGTTAGGTTACTTTTGTCGGCGGTGTCGTTGTCGGCTTGCCCGGAGCATATTAGTCAGTCATTATAAGTCGGATTGACTTCAAACTTGGTATGCATGCTTCTTATAATGACCTGAAGTCAGGGCTCACACTGGCTCAAATAAAATAATAGCCAATAATTTCAGCTTAAAAAAATAATAGCCAAAAGTTCAGCGTACTATTCACGAATAAGCGATTAACAACATAAGCAGTTGATTAAATAAACATTACATATAAAACTTTCAGTTTTATAAGGATTCTCAAATAAAATGATACATTTGTGTATATTGATAACTACCTTTTTTTAAATAGAACCACAACTTAAATTGTTATTATAGTCTAGAACAGAATAAAAACGTTACTGTATAATTAGTATAATTACTGTATAACAATAATATTAAAGGTTGACATTATAACTTTACATAATGCTGTTATCAGACAACTTTTTTTGTTTGTTCTAATCAAATTTTGTCAGCTATAACCACTGTCAATTTCCACATTTCATACAGAACTGGAGTAGATCAGGTCATATTAGCCTATAGTAATAACACAAGTTTGCAAACTCATTCACAGAATGCAGCCTTTTTTCTGAATAATTTACTGAAAATTTCATCATCACCAATGTTATACAAATTTTCTGCCATAGTAGTAAAGATTTTTAAACAGAACATAGCTTATTTCACCTTTAAATAAATATCAAAATTATCGGTGTCGCGAAAATATGTGACAATCGGATTTTTCCTGTTTTCTGAAGAAATATTCACAATTTTAGTTGTTGTGCAAATAGTTGTTTGGAAGTTAATACTTTTTAAATATTTTACCATTGTTTTCCACTGGCGATTTAGTCAAGTAGCTTAAAACAAAAAAAAAATCAAAATTTGCAATTACTGCAATTCACGGTAAATTTTGGTTAAGTCAATATCCAGTTTATCAATTTTAAAACGATTTTTGTGGCTAATTGACGGATATTTGATGGCTATTATAAATGCTGGACAATATCTTTAAAGTACTTATACAATTATACATCTCGCATGTATTTTATCACCTCGGGCAATATAGTTATCAGCACATGACCGGTAAAAAGTTGACACTCAATTTAATGCACCCCACTGGTGTTAATTGGGTCTACTGCATTCATTATCGATTTTTACACCTTATATAAACACTGTTGGAAGTAAAAAATAATCACCAGATTTTGTAGCCAAAATGCAAAAATAATCGCCAATCTTATAAAATAACCGCAAATGGCGACTATGGCGACCGACAGCGTGAGCCCTGTGAAGTGCAGTGCACAAGAACCGGTACTCTGCACTTCTTAATTTTTTAGTTATACTTTATTTTTGTCCAGGCCATTTCTCATAAATTATAAAAGCTATGGTATTGAAACTTCATAGGATGATAGATCTTATTGATAAGAAGTGCAGTGCACAGAAACTGCTGCTCTGCACTTCTTATTTTTTGAGTTATTTCCCTTTGTTAATTTTCATATTTTATTTTTGTCCTGGCCATTTCTCTTAAACTATATTGTTCACAAGGCCACACATCCCACTCACAGAGTTCTAGTTGTGGTATACTAATCGGCGATTTCCAGTTTCCACCAGTCCTTGATCTGCAAAAAACCGTGGATTTGAGGAGACCATTGATCAGTAGGTTATTACACTAAGCAATGATCTCATGGTAAAACATAATTGATATGAATGAAAAAGACTATTGTTTTTTAGTGTCAATATCTTGAATGATGAAAGGGACATTATTGAATAGCAAGGACAAATGTTTATTACTTAAAGTTGAAACATTTCCATTTAACAAAGTTATTATAGTCTGTATCCATAGTTTATTTTCTAGTTCTGTATTATATATATATATATTTTTCAGGATCTAGGATGCCCCTACACAGAAGGAGTGGAGGACTCATGGATTGCAGAGCTACTGTTCAAACCAGGAGAGTCAAGAATCAGACTTTTACAATGGCTTTTCTCCAAGTAAGTTTGCCATTCTTATAGTTTTTGTGTGTCAATTTTGAGGTAAACTGAAAATCTTAAGCATCAATTTTTCATACCTAGTAATTGTCATTGAGAAATCTTCTGTAACTTAACATAAGCGATGGACTTATTTCATATAGAATTTTATTACAATACATAGTTTATTTTATGAAATTGTGAATAAAAATGATATCAAAAGCATACAACACACTGAATCACTGTTGATCATGATCAGATGTATATTTTTGTACACAAAAGTTAAACTTCATTTACTCCAACTTCGATCACTCACACACAGGTATCCCTTACTGGCCTTAGCTCTAACTCATGGGTCTGCCTGGCACAATCAATCAAATGAGCACTTTCAGTTTTATGATAAAAAAGAAAAGCAACTTGTTACAATTTTTTTTTTCCAGGTTTGATTCAAAACTGAATGAGATACTGGATCCACAATATGCTTCTGTAGAATCAAAAATGGATTCTCGTATTCAAAGTGAGTCTGTCAGAAATATCAGCGTTATTTGGAAACTATGTTTTTATTCTTTAACTTTAGTTGTTACATACAATGTACTATCTAGCATATACATGTATAATATACAGTGCAGACTGACCTGGCTCTAGCCTATACTGGGAGCTATTGTATGCAATGTGATATTGAAATTCTATAAGACTAACAGGAATGTCACATCATGTAGCTTCTTATATGCCATGTAGGCCACAGGCACGAGTATCGGACCTGGGAAGAAAAAATATGACCAGATTGATAAAAAAAAACCTGTGTTCATTTTAAAAGTGTAAAAAAAAAAATGTAAATAATGACCCCCCTTTATAAATATACTATAAGTTAACTTATAGTATATTTATAAAGGGGGTCATTATTTACATTTTTTGTGTGTTTTTTGACACTTTTAAGATGAACACAGGTTTTTTTATCAATCGGGTCATATTTTTTCTTCCCAGGTCCGATACTTGTGCCTGTGATGTAGGCCATGCCTTACACTTAAAGACTTTTTCCAGTTAAATGACAATATCCCTTGAATGTAGGGCTGTCATTGAGTACAACACGTATTCACGACATATGAATGTCAGATGACAAATTTCAACTTTGTAACAATGCTACAACAAGTGTAATATATCTAAATTAATTGAATTTAATTCGCTCCTATACATCGTTTCACGATTTCAGTAAAATACATGTTCTGTGTGCAAAAAAAAATATTGTTTGTATTGTTTATACTTTATAGATATCCTCTTCATGCTTTTTTGGGGGTTTTTTCTGACCATATTTTATCATTGCAATGAAGTATACATGTACTTATGAATTAAGAAATGAAGTTGTCTATTCAGTAATAACAATCCAACAAAGAATGCAACATTTCTGAACTTTCTTTTAGTATTATATATATTGTGCTGGTCTGTTAAATTTGGGAATTTTGTTTTGTTCACAGGACTGTTGTTTGTTGCTTCAAATCTTGGCTTGTGTAGATATGATGATGTGGATTTAATCAGGGTAAGAAATTCTATATGAGCCTTGCCATGACAAAACCAACATAATGTGTTTGCGACCAGCATGGATCCAGACCAGCCTGCGCATCCGCACAGTCTGATCAGGATCCATGCTGTTCGCTATCAGTTTCTCTACATGTTATAGGGTTTGAAAGCAAACAGCATCGATCCTGATCAGACTGCGCGGATGCGCAGGCTGGTCTTGATCCATGCTGGTTGCAAACCCATTATGTTGGTTTTGTCATGACGTGGCTCAATTATTACTTTTTTTTTAAACTTTCTTTTTATTTTTTTGTTTATTAGATTTTAAACTTAATTAGAAAAATACGTGTAACATAAATGCTTAAAAGAAAATAGATCATTTCTTTTATAGTTTTGTCTTCCTTACCGCGTCCAGTATTTAGTTAGTCGAGCTTCGCTGTCTCCTGTGACAGCTCTTGTTGTCCATCTCCTTATTCTATTCTTACACTACATATAGATATGTGATATTGAATTTGTTTGTGTAGGCAGTTCTGTTAATGAGACCTAGAAGCTTGTAAAATGATTTGTAACTGTAGAGTTTATTGTATGTTACTTTTGTGATATTGTAACAAATGAAAATGCTTTTATTTCACCAAAGGTATCGGTAATTGTATGTCATAAATGATGCAAACAAAGTTATGCACAGAAGAGCATGTGCATTATTTTTAGTCATCTGGATACTTCCTATTTGAGATTTATAAAAAGAGTTTATATCACTTAAAACCAAATTTTATAAATGCATTAAATAAACAAATAACTTTCAGGGAGTGGTTCCAGCCAGCAAACAGTCTGCCTTCATGGAACACTTGATTGATGTCGTAGACATAGCAGACAAAGCAGAAGATCCCAAAAATAAACTTTTCAGGGAGGCCGGAGTTGTAAGGTGAGCAGATTTGGAATTCATTTGCTGATAATTTTGTATGATATTTGTTTGCTTGCAACATTTAATTTTCTTTTATCCTGCGACTGTCTATATTATCAGCTGGATAAAACCTTGCCGGACAAACTTATCTATCTCCAGTCATTACATCATATGATGACATCACATGATTAGCAACAAAACAAAACTACATATAGACGCAGTTTCATTGTGAAAACGTAAAAATGAAACCATTTAAATAATCTAAAATCATGATCAAAGAAGACAAAAGCAGGATAAATCAAATACATGGATGATGTCAGGATTGGAGAAGGTTTATCTGGTTTGCTTGGAAAGTGAATCCTGGCTCTCTTAAGCTTGTCAAGATACACTTTCTCGCTCACCTGATAAATCTTCTCCATCCTGTCATTAACCATGTATTCTCTATATAACTACTGATTGTATTAATTTAAAATTTGATTCATGCTTTTTGAATTTCAATTCAAGGGTAACTGTCACACTTATAACTCTGGCTTTGGTATGCTGATAAATTGCCGATCTTCAAAGAACAATCACTATTAATATCAGATATATTTATGGAAACTAAATAAATTATGGTTGGTATTGAGTTATTTTATAGGAACCAGAAATAGGTCAGTTTGTAGAAACCACACATGAATTGTCTTTAATAATTCATTTTATGGGAGCCAATCATATATAAATGTATGGTTTGTAATGGGTCTATTAACGGGAACCAGTCAGGAATGGTTGGTGAACCAGCCATATATTGTTGGTGATTGATCTATACATGTATATCTATGTATGGTTGGTGATATTTCTGATTATGTCATTATGAAACAACCGTATATGGTAAAAATATCTGAAATGATTGTTTCATTTCAGTGAAGCCATGTCTCTAGAGGAGCAACTATCTCATGATTGTGCCTACTTGAATGCCTTGTGTAGTCATGGCAACATAGACTCTATATTTAGCACAAAGGTGACCTTGTTGCCACCAGATCTTCAGAAGAAAGTAGAATCAAGATGGAGTCAAGGCGGGAAAAGTACTGATAAGTAAGAAATTACTTCATAAGAAATAAACTTAAAGACTAAGGAAGATTGAGTGTTGAAAAGATAACATTCTGCTTTGTTTTGTTTCATTTAGTTCAATCTTAACAGTATTTCAGTTATACATGTATATTAGTCAATATTTACCCAAAAGACATCAGCAATCTGTACCAAAACTTTTTTATGTCCCAACAATAAAATGTCTGGGGCATATAGTGTTACCCCGTTCCATCATTCCCTCTTGAACGTTGGAAAAAAATTGAAATTTTCACTTTCTGCACTCTTACTTTTGTGGAAATGTATGTATGAGCATGAAATCGCATGTGCAGGTATTTTACCAGAAAATACAAATCAAGTTCGAATTTGGTTTTGGTCTGATTTTTTTAGGGATGGCAACAAATACCTAAATCAATACTCGAGTACTTGGTCATTTTTCCGATCGAGTACTCGGTCTCAGATGATTTCCAGTGATCTTCAAAGTTTATCACACAATATCAACACTGTCCTCAAGCTACTTTCGTTTCTTTTTAAATTCATAGCATTCACAACTATAAATAGGACTGCACGGGAGGCAAATTAATTAAAATTAAATCAACAACATTATATTTTACAATGTTTTAATTAATGCAGTATCAAGTTTAAAACATGTATAACAGGTCATATATCTTATTTCTTCTTGAAGTAATATAGACTGATCGGAGGAAACAAAAGTTTAACCGTGTCTAAATGCTAGTTATCTTTATTCTTACATTCATAATAGCAATCGGCCATTTGTTGTTTTCAAAGCTGTTACTTCAGCTACAAACTGTTACACAATTAAAGGTAATTAAATATCATATGAGGCTGGATGACGTAAGCGACACAGGTGCGCGTGTCAAACTGTTGATCGCCTTGTTAAATTTATGATATCATTTTCGCACCTCTGCAAGAATGTTAATGATTGCATTTAACAGGTATTTATGAAGATACATGCACATCTCCAAATTTCTGAACTAATTGGATACACCAATCTTTCTAAATTGCAAATTTTTTTTTAGAAATTATGTATTTTTCCGAGTACTCAAATATCAATTTTGTTAACCGGTATTTGGACATTCAAATCGAGAACTCGGTTAACCAGTTACTCATTGCCATCCCTAGATTTTTTTGACAGTTATCTCTCTTGATCATGGAAAACATTTAACAAAAATATCTAATCATTATATCGGCTAAAAATATGCAATATGCAAAGGTTAATCTTGAACTTTGTATAAAAATGGTTTGTGTTAACATTTAATAGTATAAGGGGCTTGAAAAATGGTTTATGCAAACAAATTTTGAGCTAAATATTATTATAACATTTGACATTTTGGCTACATGCGGGGCATCTGTGGCATGACAACACATTTCTAGTTTTTCACAAGAAGTGGCTGTCTTTTCAGATAACAAGCAAATTCATTGAATTTATATCCCCCGCCGAGTACTGGTTATTATTAACACAACAACTGAAGACATAAGGCTTTATTTATATTTTAATCATGGCATAAACAGTAATATTCTTTGAACTTGATAAATATTCAGGGCAATAACAGAGCCATAACTTTGTGTTAAATAGTAATATCTGGAAATGCCAATGAGATGTATGCATACTACATAACTAAGCAAGGGCCATAAATCTGAGTTATAAGTATCTGACCGGAACAAGGCGACTTTATGCACATCTCCTCTTAGTATCCAATAAAGTTTCGTTGAATTCCAGCCAGTAGTTGCAGAGAAGTAGCGAGGAAACGAATATTTTTCTATATGGATACTGCATAACTAATCAAGGGCCATAACTCTGAGTTTAAGTGTCAGACCCCAACAAGGCAATGATATGCGCATCTTCTCTTGGTATTGAAGGTTCCCATAAAGTTTCATTGAATTCCAGCCAGTAGTTGCAGAGAAGTAGCACGGTAACGATTTTTGCTCTATATGCATACTGCATAACTAAGCAAGGGCCATAACTCTGAGTTTAAGTGTCTGACCTGAACAAGCCGACGATATGGGCATCTCCACTTGGTATTGAAGGTTCCCATAAAGTTTCGTTGAATTCAAGCCAGTAGTTGCAGAGAAGTAGCGAGGAAACGATTTTTACTCCATATGCATACTGCATAACTAATCAAGGGCCATAACTCTGAGTTAAAGTGTCTGACCAGAACAAGCCGACGATATGCACATCTCCTCTTGGTATTGAAGGTTCCCATAAAGTTTCGTTGAATTCCAGCCAGTAGTTGCAGAGCAGTAGCGCGGAAACGATTTTTACTCTATATGCATACTACATAACTAAGCAAGGGCCATAACTCTGAGTTTAAGTGTCTGACCTGAACAAGCCGACGATATGGGCATCTCCACTTGGTATTGAAGGTTCCCATAAAGTTTCGTTGAATTCAAGCCAGTAGTTGCAGAGAAGTAGCGAGGAAACGATTTTTACTCCATATGCATACTGCATAACTAATCAAGGGCCATAACTCTGAGTTAAAGGGTCTGACCGGAACAAGCTGACGATATGCGCATCTCCTCTTGATATTGATGATTCCCATAAAGTGTCGTTGAATTCCAGCCAGTAGTTGCATAGAACCAATCCGGAAACGAAATTCGGACGGACGGATGGACAACGGCAAAACTATATCCCCCTCCGGATTCCATCGGCGGGGGATAATTAAACACTAGTGAAAGCCAATAAACAAAAGAAATTTTATCTTAAGCCAATATGGAACTATCTGGCCTCCAGGACTCCAAACTCTTGATTAGAACTACCATTCTACTGATGAAGTACTCTTATTCATTCATTATTGTGCCTCCAGTACTCTGAACACATACAGGCGTAATAAGGCTGTTTGGCGATTGAAAAGAAGCTGTTCTTGCTTTGAGCAATGCACTTCTTACTTTGAGCAGTGCACTTTTTTTCTTTTCTTGTTCAGAGCACCAAAGCCAGATTTACAGAGCATTGAGGCAGAGGCGATACAGCTTGGTGATGATATGGCTAGACAAGTTGAACTTCTGCAAGATTTAAAGAAACACGTAAGAATTTAAAAGTTCCCTCTACAAACTCTTGTCTCGCATAATTATCCTCATGAATTACGTTAACTTCTCTCTTACGAAGAAGTTGTTCAGCTAAGTAAAGGATATGCACTTGTGTCTATCTACTTTAAGGTAGTCTTACTGTAATGCTTTCCCACCAATAAAATTCTAACATCAGCAAATGTCTTAATAAAATGGTCTTTTCCGGAACGTTATTTTTCACAATTTTTGTTATTCAATAAATCTTAACCATTTATAACCTGAATTTAGTACATATCGATGAGGAATGAGTGATTGTAAATAATCTAATACCAAAGATTTTGAAAAAAATAATGATCCTGAAATAGCCGATTTGCTATGATATTGAGCAATGTATTTAGCGGGAAAGCATTACAGTATGACTACCTTAATAAAGCGAGTCAAACCTGTTGTCTTCATCCTACTCCATCAGTAAGAAATCTTAAGATGAAATACGACCATAACAATCTATGTGCCTCTACATCTTTTAATTTCAATCCCTGTCAGTGACAAAATTTTTCATTGAAGGGAGCTAGCTGGTTACCTTATTGAACGTTGATGATTCTAGCCTTTGTGATGGGCACCATTGGTCTTTCTGCACCAGTAAAGCTTGCAGGTCACCATATGACCGTCACAATTTTGGTATGACTTAAGAACAAACTTAAGAAAAAATATAAATATTTTATGTTAAAGTTCATAGTTTTCACTAATTCAACTTTAATTACAATCAAACTGATTTATATCTTATTTGTCATAACTTTTTATCACATATTTCCTAGTACGATTACCAGCCAACAGATGATTCTAAGCTGGAAACCATCTGCAAAACAATTAGTCTGGTAGTATCTGAATTATCACAGCTGGTTACCGGCTTCACATACTGTTACGAGAATGAAATGAAACACTGGTGTAACAAATCTCCGCCAAATCTTACACAGCTGGGTCCGGCCTTTAAACGAGTTCATAGATTACTACAACAGTTTGTTCAGGTATGTAAATTAATTAGAACTGTCATCAATAGAAACAATATTGATGTATCGTTGATATTTTTCTGTCGATCAATAATCAATACACATTTCAAAAAATTGATAATTTTGACTTATTCAGTAAATGTCTAGATATTAGGAAAATTCACCCAAAACATATACAGAAGCAAATGCCCATGTCTTAACATTATCTGTTGTTACACAGTGAAAATATTTCACAGCATTGATGAGAAAAATGGTCTGGATAAAAATTATGCAATGGGTTTTTATAAAAAAAGACACTGAACAGAACATGTTTTCAACTGAAATCATTAAACAGGTATAAAAGTGAATGAAAGACAAATAATTTTATTTATTGATATTTGTCATCTGATATCAATAATTCTTTGATATGCCTTGCCTTGAATCAATAACAGCTCTAAAATTAATAGACTCAATAACAATTCACAGGGTACTGTGTACAAAAAGAAAACAAGACCTAGGTTTTAAGTTTAACCTTGAGTCTGCAGGTAACAACTGAAAATACCCAGTACAGGCACTGATTGCTATTCAGCCAGTACATTTATTTAAATTTCCCTAAAAATGATGAATGGTTTTGTCCAAAATGAAAGACAGACAATTGAATTCCATTTAAGATATTTAGTATGCTATGGTTAATTATAAACTAAGTCTTGTGAAGATCACATACTTAGTATCTGGAAAATATATATAATTGATATGAGCAGATAATAAAGTGCCCTTGGGTATACAGATGACCTGCCAGGAGTAATTTTGCTGATAAAATCGAACTGACACCAAGCCAACTGCTGACACATGCTTAGTGTTATTGTGCATTGATGAGTTATGGCTCTTTATTTATACCCCCGCACAACAAAGTTGTAAGGGGGGTATACTGGAATCAGGATGTCCGTCCGTCCGGCCGGCCGTCCGTCGGTTTTTTCTTGTCCGCCCAATAACTTAAGATTCCTTTGACCCTTAGTCTTCATATTTGGCATGGAGGTTAGTCATGATTAGTAGGAGACCCCTATTGATTTTGAGGTCACCAGGTCAAAGGTCAAGGTCACAGGGGCCTTGACTTCAAAAAGCTTGTCCGCCCAATAACTTAAGATTCCTTTGACCTACAGTCTTCATATTTGGCATGGAGGTTAGTCATGATTAGTAGATGACCCCTATTGATTTTGAGGTCACCAGGTCAAAGGTCAAGGTCACAGGGGCCGTGACTTCAAAAAGCTTGTCCGCTCAATAACTAAAGATTCCTTTGACCCACAGTCTTCATATTTGGCATGGAGGTTAGTCATGATTAGAAGATGACCCCTATTGACTTTGAGGTCACCAGGTCAAAGTCACAGGGGCCGTGACTTCAAAAAGCTTGTCCGCTCAATAACTTAAGATTCCTTTGACCCACAGTCTTCATATTTGGCATGGAGGTTAGTCATGATTAGTAGATGACCCCTATTGATTTTGAGGTCACCAGGTCAAAGTCACAGGAGCTTTGACTAAAAAAAGCTTGTCCGCCCATTAACTTAAGATTGCTTTGACCCACAGTCTTCATATTTGGCAGTGAGGTTAGTCATGATTAGTAGATGACCCCTATTGACTTTGAGGTCACCAGGTCAAAGGTCAAGGTCACAGGGGCCTTTACCATAAAAAGCTTGTCTGTCCAATAACTTTAGATTCCTTTGACCCACAGTCTTCATATTTTGAATGGAGGTTAGTCATGATTAGTAGATGACCCCTTTTGATTTTGAGGTCACTGGATCAAAGGTCAAGGTCACAGGGACTGACTTCAAAAAGTTTGTCCACCCATTAACTTAAGATTTCTTTGACCCACAGTCTTCATATTTGGCATGGATGTTGATCATGACCATAAGATGACCCCTATTGATTTTGAGGTCACTGGGTCAAAGGTCAAGGTCACAGGGACCTTGACAAAAAAAAGCTTTTCTTCTCAATTGCTAAAGAATGCCTGTCCGCAGTGTATTGATTTTGACATTTTCACATTTGAAGCATGTAGAATACATAACTTAGCAATGCACTGGCTTAGTAACCTCAGATTTGGCAAGGAGGTTGTCCTTGAGCTCTAAATGGCCACTGTTGATTCTGAGAAAGTGGTATGCGGGGGTACAGACTTCCCGAAAGTTGAAAAAAACTTTCAGACATTCGGTCTGACAAACCACGAAAATCTGTCGGACCGAAACAAAATCTGTCGGACCAAATAAAATTGATCAAAATCAAAGAAAAACTTGTGTTTGTATTTCTAAGACACTTTTTGTTTTTTTTATTTTTTCGCCGTAAAAATTGGCACAATCCGTACAGCGCATTTTCCTCATCTCCCTGTCATACACCAATGATTCATGATTCTGCTTCTATTTTTCATTAAATTTTGTCTCAGGTCTATTCTTTTCATCCTTTTATTGCTGTTCTGCGCACTCTTCTGACGTAGATTTTCGGTTTTTCCCAGGTTTGGCACCTTTAGCGACGCCATTTTGTATACATGCGGCTTGGATAAAAGCCGGACAGTCGGACCGATCCGGAATAAAAAATTGTCGGACCTGATCAAAATTTATCGGACATGTCCGTCGGACCGACGTATTTCGGGAAGTCTGGGGGTATTCACGCCATGATAGTGGCAGTTCTAGTTTATTTAGTATTTGCTTTTATTCTTTTAATAAAAAAAAACACCCTTCAGACCCAACTTTAAATGTCCATAACATTTTAATAAATCTCTCAAATATATATACTTAAATATTCATATTGATTAATTTTGAAATGATGCACATTTAAAGTTTGAGTTATCAGTAATTAAAGATGGCATTTTTCTTATTTAAAAGATTGCCAAAGCAGTACTTTCTATATAAATATTAGCATAAGGTGCAAGTCAAATTATAAAGTATACTCCTCTGGTAAAAGTGTAATTAATTATTTGTCATAACATTTGAAATGTGAACACGTACCCTCAATTAAACGGAGGCTGCAACAATCAATTTTGTTGTTTTGGATGTTCTTTAGGGATTTTTTTTTCTTTCTTTTTTCTTTGTCAGTAACAAAGTATAGATTTATGCAATTTTTGCCACTTGCATTTTTGTTTCGACCTGTATGATGAATGATTGTTCGCAATACAGACACATTCATGCTGAGCTATGTTTGTCAACATAAATTGGTACCATCAAAACCTTACAAAAAAAGTTAAAGGAACTGGTGAACAGACTATCTGAGGCCTTACAATTTATGTTGTGATTTACATGACAAAAAATTTACATAAACAAGCAGGGTTTTTATATTAAGGAAGCAGCATATTTTATTCATAGAAAAAAAAGAAGTGAGCAAATTATCTGATGTTTTGCAGGTGAGTTATTTGTCCATACCTACATCAAATGGAACATAAATCTTGAAATAAATGTTCCAGTCCTGTCATGTTAAACAAAAAAAACCACTGGAGTCCCTAATTTAATGACCAATTTTTATGTGGAATATTTCAGTTATTACAGAATTTGCGAGCAATAAGAGCATCATATACTGCATTAAACAGAGACACAGCTGAAATAGGTCAGCAGATGCCTGGACAACACGATACTTCCCTCACATTAGGTAAATCTTATCTACAATATAATAAAACAAGAACCGGTTGAACCGGGTGATGCTCCCCGAGAAGGTTCTGGACACAGGAAAGTATAAAAAAAATAAACAAAGAGCAAAAACTCCAAAATTAGGCAAGGCGGATTTATGTTTTTTTGCACTGCACTTCTATTAAATGAGATCTTTCTATCTATCTATAAAGTTTCCTGATGATATCTCTTATAGTTTTAGAGTTATGTCCTGGGTAAAATTCAAAGTGTAAAAATGAACAAAGGGCAATAACTCCAAAATTAGACCAGGCTTTGTTTAGGTTCTTTAAGCATTGCATGTCTATGTTGTTTCATACTGTTTTGGTGACACTTTTGCTTGTGTCCCTTGTTGTTTTCTCCTCTATGGTAAGTATCTTCCCAATTACCTCTAGTTTTTATTTCTTTGATTAACCCCCCTCCCCCTTCCCCCGGTCTCCTGTCCCCTTCCCCTTTGTGGGCCTATTATTTAATCATTTATTTGTTTTCTTTGAATTCCTAAGTTTAAGCATTGCAGTTCTATTCAATGATATCTAGCTACCGACAAAGTTTCATGTTGATATCTCTAATAGTTTTAAAGTTATGTCCCGGACAAAAGTCAAAAAGTAAAAATGAACAAAGGGCAATAGCTTCAAAATAAGGCAAGGCAGAGTAATGATTCTTAAGCACTGCACTTCTACCCAATAAGACCTATCTATCTACAAAGTTTCATGTTGATATCTCTTATAATTTTAGAGTAATGTCCCGGTCAAAGTTCAAAGTGTAAAATAAAAAAAGGGGAATAACTACAAAAGTTGGCAAGACAGTGTTACAGTTCTTGTGCACTGCAAACCTACTTAATGAGATCTATCTACCTACAAAGTTTCATGTTGATACCTCTTATAGTTTTAAAGTTATGTCCTGGACAAAGTTCAAAGTGTGAAAATAAACAAAGGGGAATAATTACAAAAATAGGCAAGGCAGAGTTACGGTTCTTGTGCACTGCACACCTACTCAATGAGATCTATCTACCTACAAAGTTTCATGTTGATATCTCTTATAGTTTAAGAGTTATGTCCTGAACAAAGTTCAAAGTGTAAAAATAAACAAAGGGGAATAATTCAAAAATTAGGCAAGGCAAAGTTATGGTTCTTGTGCAATGCACACCTACTCAATGAGATCTATCTACCTACAAAGTTTCATGTTGTTACCTCTTATACATTTAGAGTTATGTCCCGGACAAAGTTCAAAGATTAAAAATAAACATAGGGGGATAATTCAAAAATTAGGCAAGGCAGAGTTACGGTTCTTGTACACTGCACACCTACCAAATGAGATCTATCTACCTACAAGTTGCATGTTGATACCTCTTATACTTTTAGAGTTATGTCCCGGACAAAGTTCAAAGTGTAAAATAAACAAAGGGGGATAATTCAAAAATACGGCAAGGCAGAGTTACGGTTCTTGTACACTGCACACCTACTCAATGAGATCTATCTCCCTACAAAGTTTGATGTTGATACCTCTTATACTTTTAGAGTTATGTCCCGGACAAAGTTCAAAGTGTAAAATAAACAAAGGGGGATAATTCAAAAATTAGGCAAGGCAGAGTTACGGTTCTTGTGCACTGCACACCTACTCAATGAGATCTATCTACCTACAAAGTTTCATGTTGATACCTCTTATACTTTTAGAGTTATGTCCCGGACAAAGTTCAAAATGTAAAATAAACAAAGGGGGGTAATTCAAAAATAAGGCAAGGCAAAGTTATGGTTCTTGTGCACTGCACACCTACTCAAAGAGATCTATCTATCTACAAAGTTACATGTTGATATCTCTTATAGTTTTAGAGTTATTTCCCTGACAAACTTCAAAGAGTAAAAATAAACACAGGGCAATAATGAAAAAATAGGTAAGGTAGAGTTACGATTCTTAAGCTCTGCATATTTACTCAATGAGATCTATCTACCTACAAAGTTGCATGTTGATACCTCTTATACTTTTAGAGTTATGTCCCGGACAAAGTTTAAAGTGTAAAATAAACAAAGGGGGATAATTCAAAAATACGGCAAGGCAGAGTTACGGTTCTTGTGCACTGCACACCTACTCAATGAGATCTATCTACCTACAAAGTTTGATGTTGATACCTCTTATACTTTTAGAGTTATGTCCCGGACAAAATTCAAAGTGTAAAATAAACAAAGGGGGATAATTCAAAAATACGGCAAGGCAGAGTTATGGTTCTTGTGCACTGCACACCTACTCAATGAGATCTATCTACCTACAAAGTTTCATGTTGATACCTCTTGTTGTCTCAAAGTTATGTCCCGGACAAGAAAAGCGGACGGACGGACAAGACGGCGACTATACGCTCCCCCGAAAATTTTTGGGGAGCATAAAAATACACCTCAGGTGTGTTCAAAAAGAACCCTGGAAGTCCTGATTACAAATACACTTAGATTTGTTACACAATTCAAAGATTTTTTTATCAGAGCTTTAATTACTCCTTGAGGGGCGTTCGTGGCTGAGGGGTTAAGGTCATTGACTTCAAACCACTTGCCTGTCACTGCTATAGGTTTGAGCTATGCCAGTGTCTTGGTATTCTTTATGTGAGAAAGCTATTCAGCTAGCTTAAGGAAGGTCGGTGGTTCTACTTGGGTGCCTGTTTGTGTCTGAAATAATATACAGAGGGGAACCAGACTTCTTCCTCCACCAATAAAGCTGGAAAGGCATCATATGGTCTGTACTGTGTTGGTGCGGCTTTTTATCGTTACCCAACCAAAAATTAAAGTTATAACTCTTATAAAATTTAATGAACAATTTTTCTATTACCTTATCAACAAGAAGACAAAAAGTTGACCAAAGGATAAATTTATATCAGATACATATAATAACAGCGTGTAGGGTTTATTCATTGTTACATAGTATATTTCTTATTTCATAGACACAAAGCAATTAATAATACAACATTTCATTTAAAAGTTAAAACACTTCCTTCAGACTTTTTTTTCCTGGTTGAAAAAGTTTTCATTTCCGTTTAAGTTTTCAAGTCATATATTTTGACAGGAAAATGTTGGTTTTTTTCAACACATATAACAGAATCCTAAGAGCATATTTTTATCACATTTATGTAACAGTTTTATGTAAGTAAATGTTTATAGAATGTATCTTAAGTGATTTTCTGTTGTTTGATGTAGTTGGAGTTGGAGAGGAAGCCTTGAACAGTTTACAGGATGTTGTAGACGTTTTGGAAGAGTCTATCCAAAATTCTGAGGTAGTCTCAAGTGCACAAACTACCCCGAGAAGTGTTCGGTCAAGAACGTCACAAATACCCAGTGTTCAGGTGTCGCCGAGGAGTATTCGATCCGAGTCCTCTAGAGCTTCCACACTGAAATTGTAAGCTTAAACAATAACTTTTGATCATCGTCAGCTATAGTAATGAAATCACTTTGTCACAATTTGTTAATAGGTACTTTATCCAAAATATTCTTAATTCCTGAATAAGTCTTTTGACCTAATCTTTCACACATTAGTTTTTAACTATCATTAATATGAATGAATTCGGGCATTATGGTAATAGTTACACTTGTATATTTTGTTTTTGCACATTTTCTCCTACTGATCATTTTATTACAAAATATTTGTCTGAGGTCACAGTCTGAATTGATTAACATGATTAAAACATATTCTAATCTGAAAAAGATTTAAAATTACATCAGGAAATAACTTTGTGTACTTTTTTCCATATTTTTTTTACATTTGTATGAATTTTCATTTTTCAGGGAAAGTTGATATCGCTATTTTGAAGATACTTTAAACTAACTGGAACTATTCTGTGATAATATTTTAAGGGAGTTATGTACCTGACCAGATGAACTTTTGATGGATTAATTCTACATGTTCCACTTAAATAGATGGTAATTACACTATTTCGAAAAAAAAGTATTGAGCAGACAGAATTAGATGCAAATTCAAAGGGAGACAAATCTGCATAAATTGTATTAACTAAGAAGTTACCTACCTGTTCAACTTTAAAATTAATACAAGGACATGTAATTGTGTGTCTTCAAGGATGTTAAATGCATTTATGTGACACACAGGAAATAGGAGGAAGTGAAACTAAAAACCACAGAACATTCCTAAGGAAGTGGTTTTCAAATGTAGTTCTGTTTGCACCAATAGGAACTAGTCGACTTAACTACGTGTCAAGGATTTTGAAAACGCTTATGACATGTCAGATGGAAATTTTACGATTAAAATTTTTAGTTTTTAGAAAAATTACTGAATATGCATTGACATTACCCTATTATGAATATTTCAGATACATGTACAGTACATTGCAACATTTCTAAAAATTCATAAATAAAAAAAAACATTAAAAAGAAAAAGGAAAAAAAAGTTGAATTTTGCAGCAGTTTTAATTTGATCATCTAAAATGGAGTTTACACAGTTCTACAGTGTTTGGTGCTTTTGTAAATAAAAAATAAATATGTGAAATTGACACAATTGTAATTTTTAAAACAAAATATAATTTGATATTATTGTGTTTAAGACTATTGAAATAAAATATTTCAAAAGAAACATTTTTTTTTGTTGCAATTAACAGAAAATTTGGAGGGATGAATATTGATTTAGAATTGCTGATCAAAGATAATTTCTTTAATATTTGACTGTAGGCATAATGTTTTTTGCACCATGATTATTTGACCCTAAAATATTAAAAGTTAAATTTATAATATTAAGATATGTGGCCCAGTCAGACATATAATAATAAGTATTGCAAAGTTATCAAAGATATTTTACTATGAGGAAATGGCAGAAACTGAGAATTTCAAACAAGATAGAAAATCTATGTCCAATGATAGAAAATATTTTGTTTTAGCATCGGTCAATATTTCAATCATAGAAAACATTTTTGTTTTAGCATCAGTCAATATGTCTGTGTTCAAATACAGCTTAAAGATTAGTTATTAATTTCCTGTTGTGTTCCCAATTTATTTATACTGTTTTAATATAGTGTTGACCACATTGGCTCAAACTGAGCAGTTTTTAGGAAATTAATACCCTTGAATAGCACCTACTTGTAAGTTGTAACTTTGTTTATCATACTTCCTTGTCTTCAAAATTATATTGTCATGATAATAAACAAGTGATTATGAAGTTAGAAAATATGAAGTTAGAAAATATACATATTTTTTTTATAATTTGACATCTTATTATGCTTGAATGATAAACATCTCTAAAATTGATAACACAATTTAATTCAGACATAAGAGACATGTAAATATTCAAAATCTGTCCGACTTATTGCCGTATTTCTAACCATTTACAGAAGGTTTAAGTTTTTTTGTGTGCATAATTTCATACATTATAGGTACCGTAAGTTATGTGCATTGTTAATCATCAATGGTTAAGTTAATGCCTTGATATTTTTACCATTTTAAAAAAAGTTTTCAAATTTAACATTAAATTAGCATGTAGTAAGGTAAAGATAGTAGATGATATGGTAGTGTATAAATATACTTGGGAAAATTTTTTTACCTCATCTTTCGGGACAATCCTTTTGGATGCTCCATTTAGATGGCTGACAATTGCTGTCATTCATCTGGCTCAACTGCTGGAAGTTAGACCTCCATTACTGGGATGAGAAGCTCAACTCCCGTTGGAGGGTGGGAAGACTTGAGCCAAGATTAAGACTGAAATGTAAAGCCACTTGTATAGAGACTTTTCAAACAATAAAAGCATTACCATGGACAAGTGTATTATACAACAGCTTGACATAAATAGACTTAAATTGTTAAGAATCAAAGAAACAGATTCAAACATAAAAAGCATTATTTGTAAATCATAATCTGTGGGATTATTATAAGACCACAAATATGGCTATTTTATACAAAAGAACACATTTTAAGACTACAGTCTTACTGTCTATAATCCTTTATACAATAAATATAATTTACTTCAAAGTGAATTTGATGCAGACATACCCAAATTGCAGAATTCTTGAGTAAAATCAAAATTTCTGTTATTTACATCAAGCTGTTGGTTTAATTAAATCAGTGATGCAATGATTTCATTTTCTTACACCAGAATTCCAAAAGGAAGCAATATTTGGTTTAACACATTCGAAGAGTTAACATGTAAAAACATAGAAATAAAGCTGAGATAAGAATATAGCCCCAGAGTTCACTTGAAATCACTGCATAACCTGAAGTTAAAGTTATATATAGCAGATAGCGTGTGACAGTTAAGTGCAAGAATAAAAAACATAATTTTCAGCAATTAACCAAAAATTTTGTTAAACATTTAGGTGATAAATCTTTACTATACCAAGTAATGAAAAGCTTGACAAAAAGAAGCGGTGATACATTTTCAAATTTGACATTTTCGGTCATCTGTAGACAATTTATTCTTGCACTTCATCACCCAAAGTGAGATGTACATACAAAATAAATGAACAATAACATTTAATTAAATAGCTTTAAAATAATGGTTTATTTAAAGTATATATACAACACATTTCACATTTTCCGACTTCTTCCCTGCTCGAAACAAATTCAATTCTAGATAACTTTGTTAAAAAAATGTATTTCTTCAGATGAAAAGAAATAATTCGATGAAAATATTTTGCTGTCTGTTTTACATTTTTTAAAATCGGTTATTTATGTAAAAGAAATATTTTACAATTTTTCAGCCTTTATATATTTACATAACAAATGACATCTAATGGTACATTTCTTTATATGTTATTGTTATATGCTGTTCAAATGTTGTATATGGGCCAGAGGCCTTAGTACAAAATAAACTTTGAAACCTTTCTTCTCTTCTTTTTTTTTTTTCAAACTTTTGTCTTTGACTTTACAATAAAAGAAATGATGTATTATATATATGTCAAACAATGTTGTGAATCTTTCTACATGTTATAATACTGATAATTATGATAAATAGGTTCTTAAAAGCTTATTTTCACTTTTTAATGCTGAGTTCTCCTCCTGTAATTGATGTATTCTCATCTTCAAGCTATCAGGGCTGTTTTCTTCTGCATCTTTCTCAAGTCTTTTTAACTTTTCTTCCAGTTCAAACATTTTTTTAATAATTGTGTATTTTGGTAACTTTGCAAGTCCTCTCTTTACTTCATTATAAGAGTTTGTAGAGAAATTGTTAGTATCAACATAGTTTATGGAGTTATAATGTGAATTAAAATCTTTTTCAAATTCTTGGCCTATAAAATCAGCAGTATCTTCAAAGTCAATAGGCATGTACTCTATCTCTCCATCACGGTTCTTTAGTTTCCGGTCGTTTTCTGAGTCATAAAATGATAAGCTATCAAAGTCCTCAATTTTTGGTGACAGTCCTTGGAAAGCTGGCGAGTTGGAACTACAATCTAAATGTCCATTGCCTCTATCTTCTATTAAGAATTGGGTCGAGTTCATCGGCGCTTTCGGGCTCGTTGGTCGTATAAATTTTCTATTGCGATGTCCCCGCTTAACATTAAAATTATGAGTTTCTAGATCTAACGTACTAAAAACGTTTGAGGATTTACCTGGTGACTTCCGCATACGATTTTTCTTTCCCCGGCGTGTTTTCTTCTTCTTTAATATTTCTGCCATGTTCATATCCATTATTTCTATATTTCTTAATCCTGTAACTATTTTGACAGTATCCAAAACAAACATTTCACTTTCAATAAAACTGCCTTCCTCTAACATTGAGTACGTGTCTAGTTATGTCGCAACAACCACGTTTTTTTTTGTTTATATACAACCGCGTCACGTGACTGAAACGTCATACATACGTTTGGCAAACGAAACTAAACGAAATAGACTGGTTCTGTGTGTGTGTAAATGTACGTTCTACGTACGACATACGTTGTGAACTCGTACGTACAGCTTGTTTGTTCAATAGAAAAGGTCTACCTATTATGATTAATGCGACATCGTACAAAAGTATCACATTTCTCAATAACTGGGTAGATCTATTAAAACGTATCAACACGAAAGTTGAAACGCTGTTTATTATGACGGGCTCAGCTGAAAGGGCTGATGGCAGAAATTCAACGTTACAATCTTTTTAATAACTTCCAACAAATATTTGAAGTTGTCTATCGGACAGTATTTCCGTTATCAACCCCGATTTTTAGGGTAATCGCTCAACATGCAAAGGATAATTATATAAGAAAAGTAGAAAAAAAGATATATTGATACTTTATTTTCTTTCAATGCACAAGAAGACCTTGTTAAAGTTTTGGTTTACATAGTTTTCATTTTCAAAGTATTTTGTAATAGTATCAGTGATCGAGCTTTATATTACATAATATCATTATTAAACATCTATAATAAAAGTCTCTGGTAATATTCAAGACTTTATATATGTACGAATTTACGTGCAAAATTACGTGCCTGTTAGAATGACCTGGAGCATGCCGAAGCACGTGCGCTATTTAAATTGCAACAGTAATGTTGTGCCGTTGGTAATATCCATCGACCAATTCTTGTTTTTTTCGTTTTCGGACAAGACTGGTTTTCTTTATGGACAAACTTTAAATCAAACAGCACATATGATTGCAATATTGTAATATTCACTGTATTATTTTGTATAATATCTCTTGTTTTTAAGCTAATTTATTGCGTTAAGAAATTATTGTACATGTTGTATTTTTGTATGTTCTGCTCTTCATAATTGGAGGAAATAAAATAATCTACTCTAAACTGTTATAAAAGTTGTTTTTTTCTTTCAATGTGGTTAAAGCTATACAATAATTATCTATAATCCAAATCGATATTTTTTTCTAACATCCCGTTGCTCGTGCAGAAGGTTATATTCATACTTATCCGATCCAGAATCGGTCTGTCAACTGTCTTAGATGATGATTTCATTTAATTCATGTACAGAAAGTCACTAAGCCAGAACAGGTAACATGTGATTAAGATGTTATTTTTATTTGATAAACGATATGTCTTTCATTGTATATCAGAAATGTGACGACTTTAAAACAAACAAAAAATCATCTGACTTCATGTGATAATAAAATGAATAATGTAGTACAGATTTAAAAAAAAAAGTTTAATTTGCACAGGTTCGTTTATTCAGATACATGTATGAGGTAAAAGTGGTACCTTCAAATATACTGGACAAACCTTCTCCAACAGTAATTTTACAGCGCATTGAATTAAAATAATATACAGCAAAATTAATTTACATCTGATTTTGAAGTGTTCATTTTTTCAAACTGAAAGTATTATACACCAGACGATTCTAGGACATTTGCCCTAATCGCATCTTCTCTGCCCTTTCCGTATAGAATATTGATAATAGCCGAACATTCCGATTGACAATTGCCCCCGACCCCACCAGTTTAGATATTGACGTTGAAGTTTCCTTGTGTTTACAGTATCAATCTATTCGCAAGTAGACAACTTTTGATTTTTACTATGCGTTTTTATCAAATTCAATTAAAATATTTTGGATACTTAATCAAATGTGTATTTTTTGTTGTTGTTTAAAATACACATGGGTTTAAATTGTGATAATAGAATGTTGGCATTCTTATTATTTTCAGTGTTTTTTTGCTTGAAATTCATTTTAAATTGATACGGCAAATTCTAGCAACATTACATTAAGCCGTAAACAGTAGATGTAGAGATTTCACTGTTATAATGTGGAAAGTAATAATTATGATAATTATCAATGGATAAACTTGTTTGGAAAAGAGTCAACTCGGCCCTATACCAACTCGGCACGGGTCAACTCGGCCCACTTTACAAAAATATATATATAACGTTTTAAATTTGCTTTGCATGTTGTTAATTTAAATGAATAATAAGAAATATCTTATTATTATATAATTATACATTGTACTTCTTCTGAAATAAAGTATATTTAGAAAAAATAATATTTATCTGTCTTGCAGATTCAATAAAATTAATATAGATCTATATTCTAATAAAATGTGTTTCCTTAGATGCATTTTGTTTGTAAAGTAATATTTAAAAAAAATGAAACAAAATTGTGTTTACTTAATATCATAAGCTTCTAATTTAATCTTCCGTATTTATAAGCGCATTGATTGCTGCCGAAATTCATTTGCACGTGTCATACGTTTTTTTCTTCTATCAAATAGAAATTATCTAGTTAAAGTAATAAAGAACAGAACAGAAGTTAAATATGTAGAAATACAGTGAGATACGCAATCAGTTATCTTTACTCGTAATTCTACTGATAAGAAAAGCTTGTCTGCTGCTAGTTCGAAACTGCCAATCCTGTATCATAAATAATTACAATAATTACAATAAATAGTGTTAACAAAAACCTAAATATTAATAATTGAAAAGTGGGCCGAGTTGACCCGTGCCGAGTTGGAATAGGGCCGAGCTGACTCGGGGGCCGAGTACGTTTTAGGGCCGAGCTTACCCGGATTCAACTTGTTTTGCCTGTTCTAACAAAATTTTCAAATAATCGAAAAAGCGATAGACTAACACTTGTATTTCCTGTAAACCTGTTGCTTTCCCAGTACGCTAATCGCTGCTAGAATGTAAATATTTAGACTCAACCGAAAATATTTCTGTAAGTAAAGCAGTCTGAAATTGCAACACAGTTCTATTTTTATTCAGTTCAACCTTGAACTTCACGAAGATCTGAGAATGTCCATGTGGCTTACACAGTTTTTACCTATTTTCTCATATGTTTACTCATCAGATTTTCATATACGAAGGTTTATGTGTATAGGAAATTATAGACATTATAAAAGTTTAAATAATTTTAAAAGATAATGCCGAAAGGACGGAAAAAAGGTATGGGATATTGATAGGTACACAAATGGTAACAAGTTGTTGTCAGTGTATGGTGATTAGTCACGTGTGAGTTATATGTAACAATAACAGATGTTATTACGCACATATGTTGTATGGTTTCGATCACATATTATTTAAGTACTGATTTGTCTGTGAATAATTTTTAAATTGTGTTGTAAATAAAGAATCCTATGAAATCTATTTCCCGCCCGTACTGTCATAAAATTAGGCCAAGTTCAAAAACATGACTCGATCAGTCATGAAATTTGAAGTTTTAAACAATATTTTGTAGAAGATGCAATGAAACTTAATAAAAATGCCTGTATCATAAATTGTTTAAATAATATAAAATGTTTGAAATTTGTCTATCTATTCAAAAGCAGTCGTTGTTCTACATAACCTTAGCAATGTAAATTTTAGTGTTATCTACCTTATTTGACCCATTCACCTTTCTAATTATTTTGATGAAAATCACTATATTTATTGTCAGATTGTAAAATTTATGGACCATCAACAGGTGTAGATCCAGAATTTTTTTACCAGAGGGGTATACTAAAATCTTAAGCTGTTTTAAGTAACTTTGTTAGGAAACTGCATTCATTTATGATTTAAATGCTGTCCGTTTAGCTCAAAAGGTAGATCGTTGTGAACATGTGAACTTTTTTCAATGATCAAGTGGGAGATTTTTCTTCAAAAAGAGGGAGATTTTAGAATTTGCAATAAACAAGAAAGTTCTGATATCAAAAAGAGGGAGATTTCTTGAATTTGTGAAAATACTCCTTATTTTAAGAAAAATCTTTGAAAATATGGCTGCAGAAAGTGGGAGTCTCCCGCTAAAAGTGGGAGAGTGCACATGTATGGCGTTGGACTGTGAATCGAGTAGCCCGGCGGGTTTGATTCCCAGACGGTGCAGGTCAATTTCGTAGTGATTGATCATGAAATCTTTTCTACCGTCATTCACACTAGTACCTTTACCTTTTACCTTTGCTCTGGTATATTGGGGCGTATATAGAGAAGTTTCAGTTCCTTGCGAAAGTGAAGGCAACTAGTACTGGTAAACTGATTCACAGTCAGCTACCGTCATTCACACTAGTACCTTTACCTTAAATTACCTTTGCTCTGGTATATTAGGGCGTATATAGAGAAGTTTCAGTTCCTTGCGAAAGTGAAGGCAACTAGTACTGGTAAACTGCTTGACAGTCGTCCCAGGAATGATGCGGTGGCTGAAATGTGCTGTGGTAAATTCAATGTGGCTTACTGCCGTGATCTGGAAACTACCACCACTGCATTAATTTTGTTACAGATGTAATATAAAAAAAACATCCAGGGAGGGCAATCTTTAGAGAATATACAGACTTAAAAATAGACAATTAAATTTTATTATAAACTTAATTATAAAGTTCTTTACTCCTTAAGTGGCTAAAGGTTGTGAACTCAGAATGTAGATCTCGGTCAGGTTTAGATTCATGTACCTCAGATGTCTCAAGCTTTTATGTTTAATAGGCAAGATAGAAATTTTTGTTTTATAAGGATTTAGTTGATAACAATATATGTTATTTTACGTTTGTATATATCTAAAATTTTAATTTCTTTAATCCGGCCCTCCTCTCTGTTTTAACTGAAATATACATAGATGTTATTAAATGTTGACCAGTTCCAGTTGTATTGATAAAGAAGATATTTAATAGTGTATTGATACTCAAGAGACAACTGAAATACTGTTTAAGAGACTGAGGTGCAGAAAATGGCTACCTAAACGGCTTAACCATGAAAGTCTTAAGTTTCTTTGTTATTAATCTTTAGGTGGGCGAAAGTCTGCAGAGTCACGAGCGCCCAGTGATGAAGAATACGATACAGCAGACAATTGGAGTACAGCTAGTGTCCTTTCTGATGACCTATCTGGCAGTATTCCAGAGGATGGTAAGCGCGTAGTTTATTGCATTCAATATCTTCTATAGATGCAAATTAAGACCAATTTTTACTTTACAAAACATATATATGGCTAGAAAGTGTCAGATCTGTATTTTGTTCATTTTTTCCGTAATTGTTTTCATCTACTGGATTTTGGACCTTGGTTATGTCTTATTCTGTGACATTGGTCATTTTCAGTCAAAAATTATTTGTGAAATAAGGAACCTATATTCTAAATAACCTTGATATATACAGTTTAGCTCTGAAATGTTCATTTTTTATAGATCGTGAGAACGATGATGTTGATGAATCAAATGCACAGGAAAACTTTGAAGATAAATTAAAAGATGCAATAGATGGCCTCACACAAAAGAGGTAAGCTTATGAGAAGTCTTGCTTAATGCCAGGAATGACCCTTCTTCAAGATTGTGATATTTATATATACAATGTAGTCAGATTTTAGGGGTAAAAAGCAAAAGTATTGACATTCTATTTATTGTATATTTTCAAAGATATTTTTAGCCCCAAAAAAATCATTTGTAAACAATATTTAAGTTTAGATATGTGATGAGTTAAATATAATGAATACAAGGTGTGGCATTTGTTACCTTGTCATTTGGCAAGCTTAATAACATTTTTTCCAGAATGAGTATCAAAAAAGTATATTCATCAAATGAAAACGAATGTCAGATTCTTTTGAACACATGACCAAATTTATTGTAAATTTAAATAGAAAAAAATCTTAATGGTTATATGAAACAAAGAAAAGAAGAGAAATCAGTAATAGATTGTGAATCCTCAACATTTTATTTTCAGTGCTCAGGGACGAAAAAATTGCCTGGATGCAATTAATAAGGCATTTTCCAAGAAATATCTCTTTGACTTTTTACAAGATAGGTATGTAATTTTGTTATAACTTTTTAAACTTCACAATAAATATAACAGCTGACCTGGCTATCCAACTGCTACATGTTTACAAAAAACAAATTCATGGTTTTATTTGTGATACTGTTTGTGAGCAGCTGACCTGGCATTGAATAGAAAAGACAGGGCTAAATTTTTCACAGCTAAAAACAGAAAATGTTCATTACCCGTTATATAGGATAAGGGTTGACTAACATCCTTACCATGCTTAGTTTTAAAAAAATGATCCATCTTCAGAGCTTTAGTTTATTCTCTTTTTTGTACAGGGTAGAGTTCAGCTTCTGTAACTGATAATTTGACTGTCTTGCATGTATCTAAGCAGTTTTAAATCTCACAAGGGAGGTAAATTTCTTTTATGTTGCAAGATACACACCTGCATGCCACTCCCATGGAAAAGTTTACAAGATTATTTATCTAAGTTAAAATTAGGAAAACTGGAGCACTTGTTCATGTTATCAAATCCTTTGCAGATGGTATTATTGAAATTTGACCTTCAACTGATAATGATGTACTTAAAAAAACTACATATATTATCTATGGGAGTAGTAAAAGAGAAATGACAGAATGTCACCTTAGTGCAGTAACTGGTTAACTAACTCCTTATATAATTTAATAGTTTTTCTGAAAATTTTGCTTATGAAAAAAAAATGTTTTAGATTATTAATTATCAGAAAACTTTTTTTCTTATTTATATGTTATGCTTAATATTAAAGAAGCAATGATATGTATAAAAAGATGTTTTCCGTTTACAGGAAAATAACTGTCTCTGATGCTGTGATACGTTGTTTAAAGAAGGGGAAAGGTGATGAGCAGGCACTAGCCGCTAAATGTATAACAATGTTGTGTATACAACTAGGACAGGACGCTGATGAGATCATGACAGATGTCCGGCCCGTCCTAGTAGCACTACTGTCTGATAACTCTGCCAATGTGAAGGCAAGAGGACAGGTCAGTTACAGTAATGTTTATTAAACTGTTTAGCTGTTGTTGAGATTAAATGCTGCCAATTTAAACAGTATGGGGAATAATTATTCTTAATACCCTGGTAGTTTTCCAGAGGTAATTTAAAAAAAAAGAAAATTGATTAATAAAAGATTGTGTTGAATCACTGAAATTACACTTGCACACTCACTTAATTTACCAGAGGGAGATGCACTTTGTATGTCTGATTTTCAAAAAAAAAACCCACTTAGTTTATTAGTTTCAAGCATTTTTTGGTTTATATATATTAAAATTGCCAATTTTTAGATGATCTTAAACAGGTGAGCAATTTACACTTGTTAATTTGATGACATAAGTGTATGAAGTTTAATGCAATCTTTTTCAAATTTTCATTGAATTTTTTTTATTTACAATACATTTTATATGTATTTTCAGTGTGCTATTGCAGTTGCTATGTGCACATTCATTACTTGTGTGGAGATAGAGGTAAGTTCAGTGCTATGTTTTTATTGTAGTTGAACAAGAATTGCAGTTTAGTTTAAACATATTTAAGCTCAATTGCGCAACAAGCTCTTTCAATTTATATTAATCACTTTCGAGGCTGCTTCCTGGAATCAACCAGTGAATATGTCATATATAGAAACATGTTAGTGACCCGAGTAGGGCTCAAACCCATGATCCCTGGGTAACGATGCAGACACCTTAACCACTAGACCACTGCTCCCCTAAATAGACACAGATTAAAAAAGATCGGCGTATCCCGTAAGGACTGGATTTTACCCTGCTATGAATCTTCTGGGATAAAATTGTTAATTATGTGCCCAGATGTTTCAGTTTGCCATCATAATTGAAATGTCCTTAAAGGCTCATTATGCCTCAGAAATAAAAAAAACATTTTAATTCTTAAGAAAGGGCAAAAATGAGTTTTATAACTTTTAAAAAATGGTTTTAAGAGCATGTTAAATGGTTTACACATGAAGAAAGTAGAGCTGAATGTGAAATTATTTCTCATGAAATTAGCAAAATGTAAACAAAGTTGTATTTTTACTTCCATACAATATACTAAATCACTTTATCATTACTAATTGCCAAAAGACAACAGAAGCAAAAGGTGGTTCAGGAAATTGGCGGATGAATGGCATTGTTGGCACTAATAAATGCATTTCTTGGCCATAATGGGCCTTTAATATCAACAAGAATCCATATGTGAATTCTAAGATGATAACATTGATTGAAGAGACTTTATCATATGAAAATTAAAGTTGATTCTTTGTAGAAAATTTTTCTTTACTTGTGTCATTCCTTTGCTTTTTATGAAAGATCACAATATAGACACAAACAAATTATAGAGAGCTCGACATGTCCTTTTACAGAAGACATTTCTCAGCAAAGTCTGATTTCATTTGGTGAACACTTTAACATTTGAGAACAAAATTTATGTTCATAAATGTTATGTAAAAATGAGATTTTAAAAAGCGAACAGTAAATAATTATTCATTTCTTTTACACAGGATGTTATAAGTGTGATGGAATCATTAGAGAATATATTCAAACAGTCTTTCAAGAAAGGAGATAAATCTATACCAAATCACAATCCTGATACATGCCATCTACATGCTAGCGCCCTTACAGCCTGGGGTCTTCTATTGTCTATAGCACCACAGTGGATCATAGATAAACTAGTTCTCAAGTAAGTTGGTTGTAAAGCATAGTACTATTACTAAAGTAAATATAAAACTACTTCGATTCTTGGTTTAATACTAAACTTAGTTTAATACTAAACTTGGTTAACTATTATTGTGTTTTCTTTTAGCTAGAAACATACAGAACCTGTTTAAACAGGTAAATTTGAAAACCCCTTTGTCTATATCATTGAGTCATAAATTTTTTTTACTGATTATATGGTCCACTATGAATACATAAGAGGATATTTGTTTGCTCTTGTGTAAGATGAATTTATGAATTTAATTTTATTTCATCAAGTGAGCTTTAAAAACAGTATTGTCACAAGTGGTGTAGTCATGAGTGAGAATACTGTTTTTAAACATCACGAGATGAAATAAAATAACATCTTGCACAAACCAACAAAAAAAAAAAATTATTTTATGCTTGAATACCATTTTAAATGAAATTTCCTAGATATTAACTGGAATATCAAAATATGTTTTCCAGACTTGTAGCCCTCAATTTCAGACGAATTTCTCATTAATGCACTGGATAGAGATTTTTGATAACATGTAACAATGATAAAATAAACAAGATATTAATAGTCAGGGAGATAATTTGTCCAGCTTTAAATTTGAAACACAGTAATATTCATGGTAGCTTGTTGCCTACATATCTTTGTTATATTTTTTTCCTTTATTTCAGATATTTGACAAAACTGCCAGATATATTAGAAAGTCAGGATGTTGAACTTCGTATAGTTTCCGGGGAAACCATTGCCCTCTTCTATGAACTGGGTCGTGAAGAAGATGAGGTGAGACTTACTGCGGTATATTGTTAGAAACATGATTTTCCAATCATACTTCAGTAATGTGTTGTTTCTGTTCTATCAGATCTTAAGGTTGTCTCGGGTAAATCTGTCCATCATATAATCTACCTCTGCACAATCTTTGTACAGATATGTATGTATGTATATATAGACCCGTGTTTTAGTCCCAACTGTGGTGTGCCAATTTTCGTGAGATTTTTCTATGTATAATTTCCCTCTCATGACTTTCTTTCACATATTTTATGAGAAACTGTCCAACTGAAAAAAATGGCACCCAGTTGGTTTAACTATAGCTAAGAATTTATTGCGACTTTACTAGTTATTGTGACAAGGTACTACATTATTGAGATTGGTAAAATTTAGAGACATCTATATATTACAGGAGTTTGAAAGTGATGCAATGGTAAACCTATGTGAAACTTTACGGAGACTTTCCACAGAGTCTCATAAATACTGGGCAAAACGGGACAGAAGACAACAGAAATCTAGCTTTAGAGATATCCTCAGAGCTGTTCAGGTATACAAACATTTTCAGTACTTATATAGTACAATATATATAGACTACTGCTTCATTTAGATGCATTGAAATATGACACACTATATTACGTCTACATTCAAGAAATACACTGGGATGTAAGCTTACAGGTAGCTTACAGACTGTCAGTGGCTCTATGTAAGTGCCCATTGATGCCTGAAATAATGTACAGAAGAGCCCGTGAGCTCTCCCGGCACCAGTAAAGCTGGAAAGTCGCCATATGACCTATTTTGTGTTGGTATGATGAAAAACTCTACAAAAAAAATAGTGGCAGTGAGACTTAAAATAAAACTTGTCTTGTTTTACTGAAGCATGCTATGTACAATAAGAACACTTGGTTTCCTCCGATGATGACTTCACAGACCTGTACTGAATGTAAATAGAAGAAACATTAACCTTACCTCTGAGGATGGAAACTGAGTGCTTTGTTACTGAATAAATATAGATCAAAATAATTCCTATAGATATTTCTAGCTATGTGCTGTATTGTAAATATCCAATGATTTCATTGAATGCATATGGATTGGGGGGGGGGAACTTGTGTCAGGCAGAACTTATCTTACAACTTATACTGATAGATTATTTTTTGGTGGTTTTGTTAAATTTGGCAGAAAACTTCTATTCAATTGCTAACTTGATGCCTAAAACTGATAAGGGCAGATTTATATTAAAAGCATGTCCATATATTAAACAGTTATCCATTGGATTGCATATTAAATTTATTTAAGCTTTCATAGGTAGGTATTAATGCATGTACAGGTGAATAACATAAATTGTTTGCAAGGCAGCCAGGATCTAAATTTAACAGTAAATAAACACTTCATGTATTATTCTTTACTTCTGATATATTTGAGTACTAGGTGTATTGGTGCAAGTATCCTTGTCTAAGGGTGGAAAAAATATATTTTAGGTCAGTAAATGTTATATAAACTATGGTTCATGCTTTTCTGTTTGTTTTTTTTAAGGAGGGTGAAGCTCCGGAGATGAATGTAAAATTTGCCTCAGAATCTCTAGAAATATTTTCATGGGTGAAAAAAATGCAATATTCTGCTTTCTGCCATGCTCTTACCTCGGGTATGAATCAACATCTTCAGGTAATCACGTTTTACATATCTTATTTCAGAACTTCCATTAGTGAAATTTTTGTTGTCATTTACTCCTGATTTTGGCTTGTGAGTTCCAAAATATAATGCTTTTTCTTCTTTACCTATATAATGTACTTCCAATATCAGACATTTTGCAGTCTCTGACCTCCAAATTTTGGACTGTATTTCTTCATTCATTACAATATTATACTTGTACTGAAAAATATATTCTTTTAGTGAATAAGCTGATAGGAATGACCTAGTAGTTTAATGTCAGTGTTCTTTGTAAGTTGGTAAGTCATTCAGTTTGGTTAGTAGTTGTAAGTCATTCAGTTTGGTTAGTAGTTGTAAGTCATTCAGTTTGGTTAGTAGTTGTAAGTCATTCAGTTTGGTTAGTAGTTGAAAGTCATTCAGTTTGGTAAGTAGTTGTAAGTCATTCAGTTTGGTTAGTAGTTGTAAGTCATTCAGTTTGGATATTGAATGAGTGTAAGTTGAATACTGAATTATTGAATAAAATTATTTTATACCAGCCTCTGGCGAGCAAAATATCATTTTATACAAGTTCAATAAATAAGAAACAAACCAAATTAAATTATTTAAGAAGTAAAGTCATGAAAATCTTTAAAATACAATTCTTTCACACCTTTCTCACTGTGTTTTGTTAAGAATGTTGAACATCAATGCAGGAAATTGCAAATACACATGTTTATACAGTGTACTTACCGGTTGTTTTTATAAGAAATTCTAGTGTTCAATGAGGAGTGTTAACAGATAAAATTCAATTAACCAATAAGTAGCCTGTCTGAATAAAGGTTAGTTTTCATTGGTCGATATAATCACAGTTTCCTCTCATGATGACCTTACAGACCTGTACTGAATGTAAAAGGAAAGAACAAAAATAAAATTCTGATGGATGGAAACTGATGATCTTGTATTGAACATGGCAGTCAAGTTAGACTTGTTGTTTAAGCAAAAAACAGATTAGACTTTTAAAGAGTGGAATGAGGATGATTTACCTCTGTCTCAACTTTTTATCATTATCAAATTGATAATTTTGCTGATATTGCTTTATTGTATAGAAAAAAATTGATGAATTCAATGTGATCACCTTTCAATCTTGTGTATTATGTTACAGTGGAACCCTCTAGTGAGAGAAGTGTTTGGTCTCGGAAGTCCATTGTTACCAACCAGTGTTGCCAGTAATAAACCAACCAAATGGGAAAGGGTAGGTTATTTTAGCAGCATGGCAACCAACATAGTGGTTTTGCGACCAGCATGGATCCAGACCAGCCTGCACAGTCCGATCAGGATTCATGCTGTTTGCTTACCAACTCTATTACAAGTGGAGAAACTGACAGCGAACAGCATGGATCCTGATCAGACTGTGCGGATGCACAGGCTGGTCTGGATCCATACTGGTTGCAGATGCACTATGCTGGTTTTGTTGTGACGTGGCTCATTTTAATTTGCCTCATTTTATTCTTTTGTAATAAAAAAAATTGGATAGAATAAGGGGACATAGTATCTGACAGTCATTCAGTGAATTTGAATTTAATTTGGAACATTGAATTAATGTCAGTCATGTGAGGTATGTTGTTTACTTTGTTAATTTCTGGTTCTTCCCCAGTGTGTGCTGAAGACTGATGTCATTCATGATTGGTTATCTTTGAGTCTTTCATCACTATTTTAACCTTTAAGTGGGCAATCTATGACCTTGACATTGAATAATTCATAAGCAAACTCAGAATATGAATTTTGATGTGGATCTCAATTTGCATGAATATCAGTTAAGTCTTGTTATTATTGATACAAAATGTATTGAAGTACAGTCTTGTTAATCAGATTATTTGGACTTCAGGGTTCTAGCCAGATTGATTTCTAAACTGTCATAGTAAATTTTGTGTAATATGTTTGCCAAGCTTTAAATTGGTCACTGCCCATTGTTATCTTAAGGCCGTTAAATATTTAATGGCTAGATTTAGCAGGCAGCAGTATAGAGTCTTGTGACATGAGCAACCAAAAGGTTGAATATATACTGTAATCACCTATGTTTTGAAAATCTGTAAATTGAGTTTAATTGTGTATGGTACTTTTAAAGGAGAGCAAATTTTATTTCATATTTCTCATCGTAACAGTGCAAGAAAGAACCACTTGATACATTCACTGTGTTCTGTGTAATATGAATTGGTATATATTATTTGATTTCAGGCACAGTTCAATGCTGCTGCATTTAAGGCACGGACAAAAGCTCGTGCAAAATATCGTGACAAGCGTTCAGTGACGATGAATGGATCAGAGTGAAATTAGTCACCTTTTTTTCCGTCTGCTGTTAAAAAAAGTTGTTGTGTGAACTTAACTAACAGTTATATTTATTATTTATTTTTTATTGGAGTGTGGATGGATTTGATACATTTGCATGCTGACTGAAGATTGTGTGCCCTAAAACTGATATTGTATCAAATACAAGAGTGAAATAGACACAGTAGTAATTGTTACATATGTTAATGTTTTGCCTCATTGCCTGTGCTGTAGAGTCTACTGATCACTGAAGACAATATGTTAGTTCAATCCCTATATCCTATTAAGAGTAAAGCTAGAGCTACATTAATTTTAAGCATGTATTGCCTGATTTAATCAAATGGACTTGGCCAGTTTTGAATTTGGAAGAGTCCATGAATAGTTGAAGGATTTCAATATCAAAATTCTAAAATGGTTTTGCCAACAGACCTTACTGCCAATATACAGTCTACTTTGACTATGTGCTCCAAGTTTTTATGACCTTTCAATATATCAACTACCTGCTATATATGTTCTAGAGATATCTGAACATTGCCAGTATTGACACCCATTGATTCTTCCTTGTAGTAAATCAACCTATGTTTCATTTTCATGTACTTTGATAAAGATTTTCTTTACAACATTTAAATATTTTTTCACTCGTGTCAACTTAAATTTATCAACTGACAGATTGTCTTGAGCGGTCGGTTAATTAATGTATAGTTGATAACCATGACGGTTTCTCATTGTTTAAAGAGGTGGAAGCCATTTTTGATGTTTTACCAATATTATAGTCATTTGTTTACTTGTTCTTATTCAGGTATGGAAATTTATATACACCAAGCATTTTTACATGATGATTTTTCATATATTTTTCCTTCAGAATTTTGTGAAATCATTTATTTTCCCCCAAGTCTCAAAATCCAGATGTCAGTTTTGACTATACTGGTATGCATTACACATAGTAATTGAATAATTCTTTAGTGTTAATAATTTTCATGTTTAGATATTTCGTCGGCGTATAAAACACATGGTCATACAATAGTATAATGTTAATAAAAACAACTTTTGTTAATGGTGTATATGTGAAAGTAAGAGTTGAAAATGTGTACTCTACAAAGACGTCATCATATTTATTTTTAATTTGATTATATGTTATGTACTTTAATATCTAGATTGAAAAATAATGATAATTTATTGCCACAAATCAAAAGGTTTAGGAATAAAAGATTGAAAAACTTAATAAATTTTGCCCCAATTAAAGAAATAAATACTGAAGTGTGTACATGTATAAATATGTAAGGTGTCTTTGATGTATTTTAATGACCAGCTGATGCAATTTTAATACCTTTATGCATTAATTATATATTTCAATGGGTTTTAGATTTTAAGCCAAAAACATATATTTTTTGTTTATATGTATAGGTGTGAATTAAGTGATTTGAACAAAATATTTACAGTGTTATTACATACATGTCTTAATTATAAAATGTATATCAATAAAATGTCTTAAAATTTGGATAATCGATTTAAAAAAACTGCAAAATTTGGATTATTCCCAAAAACATAGAGTAAAATGTGGATAATGACTAAAAAAATGTGTGAAAGTTGGATAAATAATGAAAAATGCCTCAAATTTGGATATTTGATAAAAGTGTAAAATTTAGGTTCTTGTTTTAAAAGTCTTAGATTTGAATAATTGATAAAATTTGAATGCTTAGTATATAAATCTTATTTGTTGTATCAATTTGTTTTGCATGTTAACTTGAAGCGCCTGAATATCTTTTTAAATGGAAACTAGGGTATTATACTTTTCCTATCACCACAAAGCCTTTATGACTCATTTCATATTTCAAAAGGTTCAGTGCAAAAAGGTCATATCAGATACAGTTTAGTACCAAAACCTGAATTTTCCACGTTATATTTATTTGAGCCGCGTCACGACAAAACCAACATAGTGCGTTTGCGACCAGCATAGATCCAGACCAGCCTGCGCATCCGCGCAGTCTGATCAGGATCCATGCTGATGCGGCTCATTTGTTGTATAAGAGATGGTAGTTTGTTTGAATGGCTAAGTAAATAGTATGGAAATTGCCAGACAGCAAGATCTCAGTTCTGTGATGATTTTTGTGAAAGAATTATCCTTATTTGACTGATAAAATATCTCTGTGATGAAAGTTCATTCCTGTCTAATACCATATTTGATTATATGAAGCTATTTATTAAAGCAGCATGTCTCCAAATTCATGCTAATTTTCGTTAAAATTTTGAAAATATATTTATGTAGAGTAATGTGATTTGAACAAATAAAAAAGTAATAAAGACATTGCAAACAGCACTTACAGTCCATGTAAATTAACAGAAGAGTTAAAAAACATGCATATATACCCTTTACAGTGTCATTCATGTTGTAAAATTATGTTGATGAAAACCACAAAATCAATTGTTAATCGTACATAACATGTAAATTGATACTTAAATCTTGGATCTTTTTACTTTTCTTAAAATCATGGTAGATTTTTCTCAAGTAATATTTTTTGATATATTTTGGCTCATCTGGAGGTATGCAGCTTTAAAAGAGTTCTAAACCTTAAAATGAAATTGTTCCTCATATTTTTCCTGTTTTATAATGATAAAAAGCTCTTTATTCCATACCTTTCAGTTACTTGCTGAAATAAAACTCTAGATAGAATTTGCCTGGCTAATGTTTTTTGTTAATTGTTATGTTTATATATATTCTTTAATTGAAAATTATTTCAAGAATTAGATTTGAAACTTTTAAAATAAATAAATTTTAAATCAAAAGTAATTTTGACAAATTGATTTGAGAATGACATTATTATCAAATTTTGTTTCTGCAAGATTTACAAATGGTGGTTCAAGTTAAGAACAGTAATTCCACTGAATGTAATTCTTTTTATATCTTTTTTTTTTAGCTCACCTGTCACAAAGTGACAGGGTGAGCTTTTGTGATCGCTTTTCGTCCGGCGTCCGTCCGTCCGGCGTCCGTCCGTCGTCCGTCCGTAAACTTTTGCTTTAAATGACATCTCCTCATAAACCACTGAGCCAATTTCATCCAAACTTCACAGGAATGTTCCTTTGGTGGTCACCTTTAAAAATTGTTCAAAGAATTTAATTCCATGCAGAACTCTGGTTGCCATGGCAACCAAAAGAAAAATCTTTAAATATCTTCTTTTAAACAACCCTAAGAGCTAGAGCTTAGATATTTGGCATGAAACATCTTCTAATGAGTGTCTACCAAGTTTGTTCAAATAAAAGCCCTGGGGTCAAAATTGGCCCCGCCCCGGGGGGGTCATTGATTTTCCCTATATGCATATAGTAAAAACTTAAAAAATCTTCTTTTAAAGAACTGTAAGAGCTAGAGCTAAGATATTTGGCATGGAACATCTTCTAGTGAGTGTCTACCAAGTTTGTTCAAATAAAAGCCCTGGGGTCAAAATTGGCCCCGCCCCGGGGGGTCATTGATTTTCCCTATATGCATATAGTAAACACTTAAAAAATCTTCTTTTAAAGAACTGTAAGAGCTAGAGCTTAGATATTTGGCATGAAACATCTTCTAGTGAATGTCTACCAAGTTTGTTCAAATAAAAGCCCTTTGGTCAAAATTGGCCCCGCCCCAGGGGGTCATTGATTTTCCCTATATGCATAAAGTAAAAACTTAAATAATCTTCTTTTAAAGAACCCAAAGAGCTAGAGCTTAGATATTTGGCATGAAACATCTTCTAGTGAATGTCTACCAAGGTTGTTCAAATAAAAGCCCTGGGGTCAAAATTGGCCATGCCCTGGGGGGTAATTGATTTTCCCTATATGCATATAGTAAAAACTTAAAAAATCTTCTTTTAAAGAACCCAAAGAGCTAGAGCTTAGATATTTGGCATAAAACATCTTCTAGTAAATGTCTACTTAGTTTGTTCAAATAAAAGCCCTGGGGTCAAAATTGGCCCCGCCCCAGGGGGTCATTGATTTTCCCTATATGCATATAGTAAAAACTTATAAAATCTTCTTTTAAAGAACCCAAAGAGCTAGAGCTAAGATATTTAGCATGAGACATGTTCTAATGGGTGTCTACCAAGTATGTTCAAATAAAAGCCCTGAGGTCAAAACTGGCCCCGCCCCGGGGGTCATTGATTTTCCTTATATACATAGCAAAAACTTAAAAATCTTCTTTGAAAAAACCCAAATAACTAGAGTTTAGATATTAAGCATGAAACATCTTTAAGTAAATATCTACAAAGTTTGTTCAAATAAAAGCCCAGGGGTCAAAACTGGCCCTGCCTGAGGGGGTGTCATTGTTTTTTAACTATATGTGTATAGTAAAAACTTAAAAAAATCTTCTTTTAAAAAACCAATGAGCTAGAACTTAGATGTTTTTGCATGAAACATCTTCTTATGGGTGTCTACCAAGTCTGTTCAAATAAACAAATAAAAGCCCTTGGGTAAAAATTGGGCCGGGGGGGGGGGGGGGGGCTATAATAACAGGTGAGCGACCTCAGGGCCATCATGGCCCTCTTGTTTATTTTACTTTTCTTGCTGTTGTTTAAGCCTGAAACAACCAACCATGTTTTTGTTTTGTTATAAAAATTGTATTTTGAAAAACCTACTATCTGTTTTGATAAATGAGTGTACTTACACTATTTTACATGTGATATGTTGGAATGAAATGTGAATTTACCAGACTATTTTTGAAGATTTGTTCTATAGTCCTAGATGGCAAAATATGTGATTCTGTACAAGATTTAGTATTAATATCACAACATGGCTTATTTTCAATGTGATGTAATCAATACATACTTCCTTATCTTACACATGTTTAACCTTTACCACACTAAACATCTGAAATGGACTTGTCCATCTGTCATTCTGGACGAAACCATTCATCATTTTTAGGGAAATATTCAAAATAATAAGTACTGAGTGAATAGTGAACAGTGCAGACCATGATCAGATAGTATGGATTAGACAATTGATGTAAGATCCTATTTATGTGATGCATTCAATGCAGCATTTTGTTTATGATGAAAAACATGCATACATAGCTGCCAACTTTAAGAAGCATTTTGAATATTATCTGTATAATAATATGGTGCTTTTAACAAACCTTTCTTTCGTTCATTAACATAGAATAAGAAGTTTTCAGACTTTTTAATATACATTTTGTAGTTTGAATAATGTAAATAAATATTTTTAAATTCCAGAAATGCTTTGTCATAGATCAAACATTGTTTAAAAATTCAGTTTCATATATTTCTTTCTTTTATATTTGGTGAATATTACTCAGATTTCTTATGACAGCATGTTAATATAAGTTTACTGATGAAAAAATACCTGAATTAATGGAAATGAAAAAGGTAATGTTGACTGAAAATTTAAATCCTATCTTTGTAGGTTATGGTAAATAAAGATTCTGTAATTATGACATTCAAATCACAAAATGTTAAACCCATCTGTAGGGAGAAAATGAATCATTACATTTATTAAACATATTTATGTTTTAATATTTACCATTAATAATATTTAAAGAAATATTTGTGTTGATTTACATGATAAACTATTTTCATCAATTTTACAGGTTTACAAAAGAATGTTAATTTGATTTAAATGCCAACACTTGTCAGTCATGTAACTTAGTCACATATTTTGACTTCTTGACCATTTAAACGATATTCCATATTGCTCATGTAAGAAAAAGAAATAAATTTTTTAGCCAATGACAACTCAGTTTATTTTTATCTTCTTTTGTCCTACATTTGATTGTGCAGGTTTATTGATAACACTAAATCACTAAATTTCTATATTTTATTTGTCCTGCTTTGAAATAGGAACCATTTATGTGACTCGCTTTATAAATTTTATATTGGTGCAATAATTTTACAGGGTTGTTTAGACCGCCTCCGTGGTCAAGGGGTTAGAGTCGATGACTTCTAATCCAGTTACCTCTGGTATGGGTTCGATCCCCGGGAGATGCGTTGGTAGTTAAGTGTGGAAGAAGGTAGTTAGTATTGGTGAATAACTCCAGGAACGATGGTTAGGAAACTACCCGCCTATATGACTGAAATACTGTTGGAAAAAGGCATAAAATGAAACAAACAAACAAACAGGGTTCTAGATATTTGTGCTAATTGAATCATTATTACTTGCAAAGTGGAAAAATATGTTTAATTTTGTTAAGTGTTTAATTTAACCTTGATTGCTGTTGCACAAGTCCTGAATCCTTTAACTGCATTAATACTATTCTATGTTTGATCTTGAGGTAGTCTTACTGTAATGCTTTCCCGCCAAAAAATGTTAACATCGGCCAATAGCCTAATAAATCGGGGGTCATTTCCATAACGTTCTTTTCACAATCTTCAGTATTTAATAATTTTTCACAGTTTATAACCGGAATTTTGTACATAGCAATAAAGGATGAGTGATTGTAATGCCCAAGTTTTTGAAAAAATAACATTTAGGTATCTTATCGGCCAATGTTAGATTTTTTTACAGGAAAGCATTACAGTAAGGCTACCTTAAAGTCAATGGTAGAGTTGATGTGTAGTATCTTTAAAATTGCACCAAAGGTTCATCATTAGCAGTTAGAACTAACAGTCATGTGTCTGTTGTCCCACTTTTCACTAAAACATCTCTTAACTATACAGACCTGAATTTTGACCATGATGTCCATTCCATGAAGCTCTACAAAGTTGTTCTCAGACTAGGCTAGAGTCTTTAATCATTGTCATTTTCGGAGCAAAAAAGTTATTCTGTCGGTGGCTGTAGTTCAAACATAGAACTACAAATAGATCATCATCAGCAATGACCTTCCACAATGTGTACATAAATGCAAATCATAAGACGAGAAACACTACAAAATATTGTTTTAGGGATATAATATATGTACGTCACTTTTGGTTTGAGGACTTGCAACTGTATAACAGATAGCAACTCTCACATCTGTGTGATACTGGACTTAGTAAGCTTTATACTGCAGCAATTAACGATAATTTTTATGCGATATTATGAAAAATAAACTTAAGTTTGTTCTACATGATCAAATCGTGAATATAAAGGCCACTGACCCTTAAGCAAATGAACCGGCATGTAATAATTGCAAAAGCATCTTTGCTATATAGTTAAAGCACTGTAGTGAGTGTGAGACTGAGTATACTTATTATCCAATTTTGACCAAAAAACCCATAAAATTTCAGTGCTTAAGTTCCATTTTCGTGAGAATGTAATGCTGCGTCTTAAGATTGGTTCAAGGGTAGAGCATTGAAATTTTGAGCTTGTTGGTTAAACCCAACGGAAAAGAGTCAACTCGGCCCTATACCAACTCGGCACGGGTCAACTCGGCCCACTTTACAAAAATATATATAACGTATTAACTTTGCTTTGCATGTTGTTAAGGTAAATGAATAATGAGAAATATCTTATTATTATATAATTACACTTCTGCCGAAATAAGTACATTTAGAATCTTTTTTTAATTTGTCTTGCAGATTCGATAAAATTAATATAGATCTAATAAAAATGTGTTTCCTTAGATGCATTTTGTTTGTAAAGTAATATTAAAAAAAATGAAACAAAAACGTGTTTACTTCTTATCTAGTCGAAATATCAACGCGATCAGAGCTACGCCCTTTGGGATTTTGACCATGTCAAAAATTATCTAAAAATCCCGTAGGTTAAAATATTTTGACTACTTCTTATCATAAGCTTCTAATTAATTGCAGGTGGTCACTAATCAAATGAATGAATGAGTCAATCATAATTATCACCTAATTAATCGGTATCCTTAACATACACACTGATTGATAAATTAATAATAGCCCGTAACAATAAATATTTCAACACATTGTTTGACACTGAAGGTATTTAAATTTACGGTTAAACCTACCACGAGTCAGAAATACAGTGAGATACGCAATCGGTTATCTTTACTCGCAATTCAACGGATAAAAACTGCTAGTTCGGAAACTGTCAATAGGTGTATTATAAATAATTACAATAAATAGTGATAACACAAACTTAAATATTAATAATTGAAAAGTGTGCCGAGTTGACCCGTGCCGAGTTGGAATAGGGCCGAGCTGACTCGGGGGCCGAGTACGTTTTACGGCCGAGCTGACCCGGATTCAAACCCAACATAGTAAGATGCTCTTTCAACTTTCATAATCTGCACTAGTGTGATTACAGGTTATGACACCCAAGAAGCAGTCAAATAATGCGACAAAACACGCATGTCTATGTTTGACATAAATTGAAAAAACAAATTAAATGAAATGAATAACATTGTCAGGTGAGCAATCCAGTGCCAATTTGACTCTTGGGTTGTTTGTTTTTGATGATGTTGTTGTTATTTTTTCGTTTTGTTTTTTTTCAACGTTATTTCTTAAATTTGTTAATGTTAAATGAATTGAAATGACTATAGAATATCATGAAATTTGACATTAAAAAACAAGACTGGAAAAAAAGTACCACATGCACTTTGATATAGTGATAATCTTCACAACAAACATATTTCACGGCACCGTTTCGTTCTTCTTCCTGACCTTTCTTGTGGAACGACGACAACTTCAGCCGGTAAAAATGGGTAAAAAAGTGAATCCAGTAAAAGACTTTGTGGCTGGAGGATTTGGTGGAATGTGTCTTGTGGTTGCTGGTCATCCACTTGACACAATCAAGGTATGCCATACATTAATATTTTCAATAAAGTTCGTATTGTAGTTTCGGTATCGCTATGGTCTGCTGATTTCCCCAAAGGGACTTGAACAAATTTGTTACTAATCCCTTTCATCATTACTATGTCGTTATTGTTCCTTATAGTCAAATGAATAAAATTATTGAAAATTATACTGTACATTTTATTGTCAGTATTGCTGTGCTATTGCTATAATTTAAGAGAATTTTAGCCAAAACCAAAACAAAATCCATCTTCTTAAAAGAAGATGGATTTGGTTTTGGCTAAATTATCATCAGGTCTAGTATATCTTCAGATTAGTACATGATGCTCCAATATATCATTAATGATTTTATAGTATGATCAAACATGTTTTTATTTAAGTTGATTTCAATGTTTGTGTTAGACTCCTAACCCTGGGGTAAAATTAGGGATTTTGACTTTGAGACCAGCAAAGAATAACAAAGTTTATGGGGAAATTACATTAACCACACAGGTTAAATAGTGCTAGGGATGATGTTTACAAGTAAATACAATGTACTTTTATTAGAACTTTGACAAGTACCATGGTATCATGTTTTTTTTTTTATCTTACATCTACCTGGATACTGAATCATTACCTTCTAGTACGAGGGGTTACCAGTATCCAAAATTTTGTGGACTTTTTAAATATCTCTTGAACATCAATGTGTGTTGTAATGAAATTTTATCAGCACACATTGTAGAATATTATCAACACAGTTTGAAAGGAACAGTTAACTGCATCAATAAATAATGATTTTATATTGCTTTTAAATATGCACATGCACGGCACCCGGCGCACTATAGAAAACCGCAGTTAGTCATTGTATATTTTTTGCTAAAAACTAATAATCAAGGTAGAAAACCCACTAAACACTGCATGTTTATTCTATGACATCATTTAAGTAATTCTTTAAAATTATGGACGTCATTTCCGTTTATATTTTGTTGATATTGCTAGAAACGCCAGACGCCAATATTGTTTACAACGGGAAAATGACGGACACGCGGAAATAAGAAAATTGCGCCATCATAAAATTTTGTTGTAATTTGGGAATGACACCTGTAAAAACATTTGAAAAAAATCAGCAGGCGAACAGAGAAAATAAAATGTCACGATAATTAGTGTTTAAGTGGCATAAGAGATTTAGTGTTGAACGGGAAAACGGAAATTACTTTGAAACGCAGTCACGGTCATTGACTGCGTAACATTGAAGCAAAAGGTCTACGTTATTATGACGTTGACATCATTAAACTTTTTGGATAGCGCCGCTGTCGCCGTTAGTGTTTATGTAAAATTAAATATTGTTGTAATATAAGAAGCTACATTTGTACTAACATGAATTTTTCTGTGTTTATTTGTTATTTATTCTTCTAAGAAGTGTAAGAATTTGAAATCAATATGTCAAATATGTTTTACGCAATATAGAAAGTCCACAATTTTTTGGATAACCCCTTGTTTGTTAAGCTAAAGTCTATATATGGTAGTTTGAGCTTTATTAGAAATAAAACTTATGAACTTACCAGAAAATATGCCTTCAATGAACATTATTCATAGGAGTTAAGGCATTTATGTTATTTTGAATTGTTCAGGTTAGAATTCAGACTATGCCCAAGCCTGGTCCTGGACAGAGCCCACTTTACAAAGGAACACTTGATTGTGCTATGCAGACAATAAGGAAAGAGGTGATATGTATCTTTATTACTGTGTCTTAAAGTTTCAACATATGTACTGTAAGTTTATGCAGAATTGATTCTAGTTTGATGGTTTACAGGAATCTATTAGCTTACAGATATTACTTTTGAATCTGTTCCTGGAAACGACAAGTATTAAGAAATGAGTGTAAAGTTTCTTCTGTAGGAAACAAATGAGTTTACACCCATGCAGGCAGCAATACTTAGATTACCGGTTAGTGTGACATCTCTATTTTCAAGAGGTTATTTGTGTAGTTAAAGCATACATATTTTATTTAATTTTGATGGTAAAAGTTCTTAAAATTGTCATAAATCATTTTCACATTTGATTCCTCAAACAAATTATTATAAGATATTTGGAAAAAATGTGAAAAAGAAGATTTTGTAATAATATATTTATGGAATGTTTCAGGGATTTTTTGGGTTGTACAAAGGTATGGCTGCTCCATTGACAGGGGTATCACCGATGTTTGCTATATGTTTCCTCGGTTTTGGTGTAGGTAAAAAACTACAGCAGAAACATCCACATGATGATCTTACGTAAGTTTCTCTTAATCATAAGAATTGATTTATACATAATATTTACAACAAAAGTGTGCTATACTGATGGGTTAGATTGCTTGAGTTGATTGTGGAGTGGGAATATAGCTTTAATGCACTCAATGTGAGAATGCACTCAATGTGAGTGATTCAATAGATCTATTAGAATAGCACACTATGTCACAAAATGCTTTTTTGGGGGAAACCATTTAACTAGAGAGGCAAGTTGAACTTGAGCTGGACTTGCCTTTCAACAAGGTCATTTGAAAACACTGAAAAACAGTTGTTTCTGATGTGCGAATCAGGGCCATCATGGCCCTCTTGTTTATTATGTATCTTCTGTAAAATGTCCAAAAAATATCCAAACGAAATCCAAGAAATTAAACTTCCTTATAAATAGTTAAAGTTATAGCACAAGGTTATAGTTGTTATATAACAGAATACAATTTAACCTCTGCATAGCAACACCCTTTGGGTGACAAATATTTTGGTTGTTGCAGAGAGGTTTCTCTACAGAGATGAAATATAATGGGAAAGTTGTTGTTTAGAGGTTATTGCTTTACTGAGGGCCACTCAGCAGAGGTTTTACTGTATGACTATACCCGGAGGATTATATAGTATGATATACATAGAAAATATATCGGGATGTATGTTTATTAAAAATAGCCAAATTTTAGTCAGAAAACATATAATTCATAAAAATAATATATTGTATATGTAACAATGCATGAAAAAATAAAGAAAAAAGACTGTAGTCGTCTCAAGAAATGAAATTGAAAAGATTTTCTAATCTTTTTGTTAATATCCAGGTCAGTTTTAGTATTCTATAGCCCCACAGGTTATTTATCAAGTTACATTTATCAATAGTTACTTAATGCACATTTCACACATACCACCATTATAATTATATAATTTTTATTTTCAGAATATAATATATCATTTATATAGAGATCTTTTATAAATCTCAATTTGAGAAGGTAAGAGAGATAATGAGATAAAATTGACAAAATTAGGCCAATTATAAATATGTTAATTTTTAGCTCGACTATTCGATAAGAATAAGTAGAGCTATTGCAGTCACCCGAGCGTCGGCGTCGGCGTAACCACTTATGTTAAAGTTTTTGTAATAGTTCAAATATTTTCAAAGTCCATTGACATATGGCTTTGAAACTTTGCACACTTGTTCACCATCATGAACCCAACCTGTAGACAGGAGGAGGTAACTCTATCAAGCATTTTGACAGAATTATGCCCCTTTTTCGACTTAGAATTTACGTTAAAGTTTTTTTAATAGTTCAAATATTTTCAAAGTCCATTGACATATGGCTTTGAAACTTTGCACACTTGTTCACCATCATGACCTCAACCTGTAGACAGGAGGAGGTAACTCGATCAAGTATTTTGACAGAATTATGCCCCTTTTTCGACTTAGAATTTACGTTAAAGTTTTTGTAATAGTTCAAATATTTTCAAAGTCCATTGACATATGGCTTTGAAACTTTGCACACTTGTTCACCATCATGACCCCAACCTGTAGACAGGAGGAGGTAACTCTATCAAGCATTTTGACAGAATTATGCCCCTTTTTCGACTTAGAATTTACATTAAAGTTTTTGTAATAGTTCAAATATTTTCAAAGTCCATAGACATATGGCTTTGAAACTTTGCACACTTGTTCAACATCATGACCCCAACCTGTAGACAGCAGGAGGTAACTCTATTAAGCATTTTGACAGAATTATGCCCCTTTTTCGACTTAGAATTTACGTTGAAGTTTTTGTAATAGTTCAAATATTTTCAAAGTGCATTGACATATGGCTTTGAAACTTTGCACACTTGTTCAACATCATGACCCCAACCTGTAAACAGGAGGAGGTAACTCTATCAAGCATTTTGACAGAATTATGCCCCTTTTTCGGCTTAGAATTTACGTTAAAGTTTTTGTAATAGTTCAAATATTTTCAAAGTCCATTGACATATGGCTTTGAAACTTTGCACACTTGTTCACCATCATGACCCCAACCTGTAAACAGGAGGAGGTAACTGTATCAGGCATTTTTTTTACTATCAAGCACTAAGAATAGTCGAGCATGCTGTCCTACCGACAGCTCTTGTTTAATGTACTAAAGGCTATTCATGCTTAAAATCATTACCTTTAACTAAAGCAACCATAAGTTCGATCAAAAATAACTAATTGGTGTAATTTCTCCCCCCCCCCCCCCCCCCCCAAAAATAAAAAAATAATGACTGAATTTTGTCCATTTAGCATTTTACAGTTTTATACTTCATTACTAGATTATTATACAATAGAATCATGTTATAGATATCAATTAATTTTGTTTATTTTTGCACTTTAACATTAAAGTTATAATTACCGGTATTTATATTTACCTATAATAACAATTAAATATTGAAGTACCAAGTCAGTAAAATTGATGACTTAAAAAAATTATTGGTCTAATATTTTACACCATATATTACAAAATCCAATATTCAAAACTTAAAATTTATTATGTAAAACTATTATACAGATATTTATTTTTTTGTACAAGTTAAATTGCTATTTATCGCATGGTTTGGAACTTTTCCTTTGTTCTTATAACCCATTATACTCAGTACACTTCAATGAGCATTTCAAAACTGTATTGATATAATAACAGTACAGTTTTTTCATTGATTCATATAGGAAAAAAACTCGACTGTTATAATTATATTGGTCGAGTTTTTTTCGCACCTTGTATATATCAATACAGTTTTTTCATAGAGGCTCCAATGGGGCAGTGGTAACGACCATTCCCAGTAGCAAAAAAAAAATATAAAAAAAATGAATCAATAAAATTAAATGAATAAATATATAAATACAATGGAAAATATAAACAAAGATAATTAATGAAATGAAATTGACTCTCATTTAATCAAAAGGTACATCCGCTGAATGAATTAATTCCACTGAAAAAAGCCCTTTAATCTTGAACCAATCTTGGTAACAGTATACAATCCGCCTCTAATATTGGATGTCTTTTGTATATTTTTTTGCGGCAGCGAAAACAACTTGAAAAACTGCCTTATTATAAATAACTGTAATGTAGCTAACGATTTATTTATTTATTTCTTTCTATTACAAAAAAGAAAACATTATGTCATTGCGATAAAACAGTTATAGTATATGAAACTCGTTAGTTACGGGGGTATAACACTGGTTGGGGCGACATCTCGGGATGTTTATGCAAAAAAAATTTGTCTCGGCCCAACGGCCTCGCCATTTTTTAGCAGAAACACCCCTTGATGTCGCCCCAGCCAGTGTTATACCCTCGTAACTAACTCGTTTCATGTACTATAACTATTACTTATTGAAATAAAAGGTAACTCCTTAATACATGTAATAGGTCTAGCACACTTCAAAGTGCATTTCAAAGTGCACATCTAGTGCACACCAAGTGCAATTTGTGTAACCTTTTGTTTTAACTCAACTGTAGTTATCCATATAACTTCATATATACAATGTATGTCAAAATCTTTGGTATATTGATGAGATATATTGAGTTATACTGATATCAGCTATTAAGACCACTAATAATTTGTCAAATTTTCCAGTGTTCATGTACTTATATAAAATTCTATTAGAGACTTGCTTACTCGTACAAATGTACTTGTATAAAATGTAATATGAAATGTCAAAAAGATCTTTATTTGTGTCATTGATTAATATATTTTGTATTTTTTTAGTTACTTTCAGTTTTTCAATGCTGGTATGTTGGCAGGTGTATTCACAACAGCAATAATGACTCCCGGAGAGAGAATAAAGTGTTTATTACAGGTGACTTTAATGTTCTTCAGTCATGTTTAATGTGTTTCAGTTTAGCCTGTTGCATACTGGATTTGTATGATAGACTTAACCTGCTTTGTACTTTGAACAATCAAGATACATATAATTGAGTCTGGATAGACTAGTTAGATATTTTGACCCATTTAAGTTCATTTTTAGCTGGACAATACAAACTATATGGAGAGCTGTCCTGCTCGCCCCGGCATCTGCGTTCAGATTAAAGTTTTGGTGCAGTAAAATATTTTTCACTATAACTTTGTCATTTCTTAAGGTATCAACTTCAAATATATGTTCCTTATCATCAACCACATCTTATGTGACAAGGTTCATAACTCTAGCACCAATATTTTCAGATTTATCTCCCCTTGAACTTAGAATTTTCCTTAATTTTTTTTTTTTTTACTGTTACTTCTTATTTCTAAAGGGATCAATTTCATACTTCAAATATATCTACCTTCTCATCATCCACATCTTATGTGACATGGTTCATAACTCTAGCACCAATATTGCAAGAATAACCTCCCCATAAACTTAGATTTTTTTTACTACAAAAATGTAATTTTTTACTATAACTTTTTCAGTTTTAAAGGTATCAACCTCCAACTTCAAATACTTATTCCTTATCATCAATTGCATTTTATGTGACAATGTTCATAACTCTTGAAGCAATATTTACAGATTTATCTCTCTTTGAACTTAGTATTTTTGTTAAGAAATGTTATAACTTCTTTACTTTTAAAGGTATCTACTTCAAACTTCAAATATATATTTCGTATCATTACACACATGTTGTCTGACACGGTTCATAACTCTAGCATGACTATTTCTAGAATTATTCCCCTTGATCTTGGAATTTATGTTAATAATGTTATTTTTTTTACTTTAACTTAAAACATAGTTTTGTCTTTCTTACTGCGTCTAGTATTTTATTAGTCGAGCTTCACTGTCTCCTGTGACAGCTCTTGTTTACCATCTAAAGGCCCAATAAGTCTCAAAAATGCTGTTATTTTTATTTTTCAAAAGTATAATATTTTAATTGTCTTGTTTACAATTCCCATCAACCTAGGTTGCTTATTGACCATATAGATTTTTGTGTTTTGGCAATAAGTACAGTTAAAATGATCAGTATTTTGGTAATTTGTATAAAAATTAAGTTAGAACTTGGTACATTGTATACATTTTACTACTTTAAACACAAATTATTTCATATTAAGTGCTATATACTGCAGGTGGTATGCATATTGCATGTTCTAAATCCAGAGGGGCGTCCATGGCCAGGTGGTTTCAAACCATTTGCCCCTAATCACCGTGGGTTTGAATCCCTACAGGGACTTTGGATTCTTCATGTGAAAAAGCTATCCAGCTATCTTACAGAACGTTGGTGGTTATACTCGGGTGCTTGTTTGTGCCTGAAATAATGCACGGAAGGGCACCTCAGGTCTTCCTCCACCAGTAAAGCTGGAACGACGCCATATGACCTATAACCAATCAAACAAACAAACAAATGTTCTAAATCCATTGTTACAACATTATAAAACACAATCATCATGTTTTTGAGGTTTGATGTGCCTTAAAAGGGAGAGAAAGTTGTATTTTAACTTATTATATATCATTTATTGTTGTGATTTGTAATATAATCTGTAGGAATTAATTCAGTTTTGATACAGTAAAGATGTAGAGGTGCATTCCCATAAACTGAATTGTTGCATCAAATAGCACATTTCCAGTGGGATGAATGTTTTTGATTTTTTTTTTACATTTCTAACATACCACATGTGTAAGGCTTATTTTAGTAGCTGCAGTTTAATGTAAATGTATTTGACATTTACAAGATCAATTTCAAATTTAATACATTATAGTGGCTTTTCAGTAGCAATAAAAAAACTTGTGAAACAAGTATGTAATATGACCTTCTTGCTTATAAATATAGGATATGTGCTGATTTTGTTAATATTTTATTGCAGTGCAGAAATTAATTCTTCAAATTTTGAAGCATATTGCTATAAGTATTTCAAATTACCAAGCAACCTTGTTTTAGATTAATCCAGAAAAGAGACTTGTTTGCAATATCTTAAACTTGTTTTTACTCGACAATGTTACTTATTATATGAATTCTAAGTGCACATTTTGTATTTGTCAACTCATACTTTTGCCTATTGTAACATTGATTTCAATTGGATAAGCATAATGTTTATATGAGCCGCGTCACAACAAAACCAACATAGTGCATTTGTGACCAGCATGGATCCAGACCAGCCTGCACATCCGCGCAGTCTGATCAGGATCCATGCTGTTCGCTATCAGTTTCTCTACTTGTAATAGAGTTGGTAAGCGAACAGCATGGATCCTGATTAGAGTGCGCTGATGCGCAGGCTGGTCTGGATCCATGCTGGTCGCAAACGCACTATGTTGGTTTTGTCGTGACCCGGCTCATATAATCTATATACACAGCTGCTGTAAATTTATGATTTAATTTCTCCCTGAGTAAAAGAAATGTGCTGTCCTACAAATGTGTTGAAAAGATTTTTGAAAAAGTTGTAACCCCTAAATAAATGGATATTTGTTATATAACCCATTCTATAAGGTTAAGGGTTATATATGGTTAGAACTGTTTATATTTGGACATATAACCAGTCATAAAATCTTTAAAGCTATTAATATAAGACAGATATATAATAAACTTGTTAATTAGACTGACTACATTAATTTCTTGACTTCCCGTACAAAACATACCAAATGCTTGATTAGTTTATAT